AGAGCTGTGTTTTTTCCCCCAGGGTGCCCACAGGCAATCCTCAGAGAGCCTCGTGTGACCTCCCCTCCTGTCACTCTTATAGTGCAGAAGATCAACCCCTGTGTGATGGAGCTCTGTAGGTTCTTTCAGCTGTGCCTCTGTGTTGGTCAGAGAAGATATTCCAGAAAGGAAGCCATGAGGTAAAACCTGGCACTAGTTTCTCTTTCCTTCTCTGCTTTAAATACTCCATCAGGTTTTTTTCCAAATGACAACTTTCAATCACTAATGCTTATTTTTGAGAGTCTGTGGCTACTAGCTGAGACCCAAATGGGTCCCAGGGCAATGATCAGTACCTGATCTGGCTTACTGTATTCAGACTAAGTGAATAAAGCCCAGCTTCATTTTTCCAAATATCTAATGACATCATTGTAGTTGGACTCTAGCTTTTTATTTCCATATTCAATGGTACCAGCATGGTATCCTGTGCTTATAGAATCATATAATGGTTTGGGTTGGAAAGGACCTCAAAGATCATCCAGTTTCAATCCCCACGACATGGACAGAGAACATGTTCCAATAGACCAGGTTGCTCAAAGCCTCATCTAGCCTGGCCTTGAACACTTACAGGGATGGGGCATCCACAACTTCTCTGGAAAACCTGTGCCAGTGCCTCACCACCCTTCTAGTAAAGAATTTCTTCCCAATGTCTAATCTAAACTTGCTCTCATTCAGTTTAGGGTCGTTCCCTCTTGTCCTGTCACTACATAACTTTGTGAAAAGTCCCTCTCCTTAATGAAAGATAAGCTGCTACTCTCCTAACTTTAACTACATCTTCAGGTACTGTGTTGAATACTATTCCTGGTTTGTGAAAAATGCAAGTTATGTCTGTGAAAGAGTCAAAAGAGTTACTTACTCCCACAGTAAGTATGTTTTCTCTTTGTATCTCTATATCTGTACATACATTATTGTGTAAATATAACAAAAAAATTTTACATATCCAAAGACTATTTGCTGTCTTTCATCAGATAGCTATTTTATCTGATAATGATCTTTAAGGGATTAAAAAAAAGGATTATTTGACCTTCATGTATGTTTTTTAGTATTTCCTCATAAACCCTAATGAACATTTTCTTGTGTTCTTCCAGCCTTAAAGCAAAAATGCCTCAAAAACATCTGTGCGTCAGTTTAGAGCATTGAGAAATGATACTGCAAGTTGGAAGACTGTGGCAGTTTTAGTTGTCTTTTTTGATTTCTCAGTGTAAACACCAGAATGCAATATGTTTTTTGCAAATATTTGTAATAAGAAAAGCTATTAACCAGATGTTAAACCTAGAAACCTCTCTTCCTCCAAGGCATTGTAAAAATAATGTGTACAAACAGATATATTTTATACAAGTGATGAAACTACAATAAAAGAATTGAAAGGCTTTTAAAAATCTTATTTTATAAAGGATATTTATATGGTTGGTCAGTAAATGAAAATAGTTTATACTAGTTTTGTTTACAATTAAGACATAGTAATCAACATGAACAAATACAAAATAATTTAAAAGCAACCTGAAATACTGAAGACAAGGAGGACTTTCCCTAGTGTTAAACACTGGCAGATTATCTTCTAAATCAAGTTTCCCAGTACTCAGCAACACATGGATTGCAGAGGTCAACCCAGGAAGTGTTCAGTCCTCTTGTACTTTCACTCTGAGACATATTTGTGTGAGCTCACCAGGATTCATAGAAACAGGGAATCATAGAATTGTTTGGGTTGGAAGAAACCTTAAAGGTCATTTACTTTCAATCCCCCTTCCATAGGGATGTCACCCATGAGATCAGGTTGCTCAGGGCCCCATCCAACCTGGTCTTGAGCACTTCATGTCCTTCTTTATATGCAAATCTGGTGAACTAAAAGCCAGTTCTAAAAAATGAAACAATTACCAAATCAATTGCATGAGCTCGTAGTTTACTACCCTGCAGCAATATCTTTCTACTATTTCCCCAAAGTGTATCATCAAGCCATTAATATTCTTTTAAATAAGAAGTTTGTTTGCACCATATCTCGTGCACATTGATGTTTCACTGAAGAAATATGTATTCAAAGTAAGATAAAGCTGAGGAGAAAGGTGACACCATAAGGAATGCTGACCCCAGGGTGAGATGGGATGGCAGCAGCCCTCTTTCCAAATACATTTCACTGTTGTGCCCATGACAGAAGCATTTCTGTCATGTCAAAGAGCAGGATAGATTGGAGTACTACCAATTACAGTTCATATTGAAAGTTAGGCTAATGGAATAAGTAGGAATGTCAATACATTGGGAATGTTAGCATGGCTGTGGTACTGTGATGAGATTTCGCTCTGCAGCAGCTCTCTCAGTGTGTGCCCACTGCCTCTTGTCATGGGAGGCTCTTATCAGAGACTGGCTCTGTCCTCTTTGCACCCTCCCCTCGGGTGTTCATGGGCATTGATGAGGTCCCACTGCGACTTCTCTAATGAAGAGTCCCAGCTCTCTTGTCCCCTCCTCATGAGAGATGAGGAGTCCATCACCTTTGTGGCCCTTCTTTGAACTGTCTCAAGTTTGTCCGTGTCTGTCTTTCACTGAGGAGCCCAGAACTGGACAGAGTGCTCCAGATGTGGCCTCACCAGTGCTGAGCAGAGGGGACCCACTCCTTTGATCTGTGGGCAGTACTTTTCCAAATGCAGCCGAGGACATCCTCAGCCTTCTGTGCTGCAAGGGCATGCTGCTTGCTCAAGTTCAACCTAGTGTCCAGCAGGACCCCAAGTCCTTTTCTACCAAGCTGCTTTACATCTGAGTGGCCCCCAGCATATATTTGTGTATGAGGCTGTACCTCCCCAGGTGCAGGACTTTGCACTTGTTGAACTTCCTGAAGTTCCTGTTGGCCCATTTCTTCAGGGTGTTGAGGTCCCTCTGGATGGCAGCACGACCCTTTGAAATATCAGTCACTCCTTTCAGTTCAGTGTCATTTGCCAACCTGCTGAGAGTACGCTTTGCCCATCATCCAGATCATTGATGAAGATGCTAAGCAAGACTGGACCCAGCACTGACCACTGGCACACACCACCAGTCACTGGCCTCCAAATAGACTTCGTGCCACTGACTGCCACCCTCTGGGCCCCACCATTCAGTTTTCAACCCACCTCACCAGGCACGTCCAGCACAGATATCAACAGCTTCTCTATGAGGATCTTATGGGCCACCATGTCAAAGGCCTTTCTGAAAACCATGTAGTTCACAGGATCTGAAGGAGCCAAGCCTTTTCTTCATGTGAGTATTTTCACAATTTCAGATTTGTCAAACTTCTCCATACCAGAATTCAGTGGACAGTTTGCCTTTGTTGATGGACTCTTTACAGGGTAGTTGTGTCTGGCCCTGGCAGAAAGCACACCTTCCCAATGAGGAGAAGCCTTCCCAAAGCTCGTTGACTCAGCCTTTCCCTGGATTTGTCTCAGCCTTGGATCAGAGACTCCGTGGATAGACAAGAGCAGACTTCTCAGCCCTGAGGAATGCCAGTGTTTAAAGCGGTGTAAATTCTCACTCATCTTTCATCACTGAACACTACCTCTTGCTAAGCTATTAGAGCCACATTCACATGCCCAAGAGATTTCGTGAGTGATTAATAACAAAGGGATGATTGTTATTTAATTACAGCCAAGAGTATTAGGGAAAGTTATTATACAGTGAATGCACCTGCAGAACAGACTTCTCAGTATAGATCCTTTACATGGCTGGAGCCATATTGCTAAATACACTGTGGGCATAATGACTCTAAGGAATCTTATGCAAGAATTAATTAATAAATGTTGAAGTGAGTTTGATAAAGGAAGTGATCACATGGGTGACATCTATATACAAGTGGGTATAAATAACTTAGTACTGACTTTGTTGAAATCCATTTGTCTTCCATCCAACTGCTTTCGAATAATATCCCTCAAGGTAAGCCTTTCTCAGCGTACTCTATAATACGGGAATCAGGAGTAAAATGATGTAGAATAATCTATTTGTGGCTGTGGAGTTGTAGACTAAAGGGTAGGTAGAAAAATTTAGGACAGTAGACTATAAATATTTAAAGCTGTTAGATTTATAACCTCACTTCCTGATGAAATATTACAAGATTTTATAACAGAAATGAATGTAATATTTGAACTTAGAAAACAAATAATCATCAGGAAGTAGGTATTTGAAAACTGATATATAAATATTCATTTATTTGTCTGTAAAAAGCTCCATGCCTGACTTGGAAAATCATTCTAAATTTAGAGTAATCTGTGACTGTAGTTAAAAAACAATCTTCCATTTAATGAATATCAATTCAAGACTTTTAGGTTCAGGAGAATTCTTTACACATTTCTGTAAGGTCAAGCACAGCCAGAACTTGAAGATCTCCAAACATCATGTCTATCATTAGGAAAATTTATGATATGTTAGATCAGTCTCAACACAAGTTAGAATAAATGTTTGACTACAAAGTGGGAGAGATTTTTGTGACATGAAACAAACTCATATAATGAATTGAAGATTAACTGAAGTTAATAGAAGTAATCCCAGAATATCTTTTCATTTACACAGTGTTTCGTGATATCTGCATTTAAACATGCAAAGAATTGTTCAAACATCCTGTTAGATCAAGGAAAATGTGAAAACTGCAAACCAAAAGAATTTTGAATTGCATTATTTTGATGCTAAATTGCACTTTCACAGAGTCTGTTGACTCACTTAAAACAACACCAAAATAAATATTTTCAGTCAGACTTGTAGAGGACTTTGGTAAAATTTGAAGGATACATAAATATCATCATTTCTGTAACATGTGCATTTGCTATGATAAGGGTAAAAAATTAATTGTGTCAAGCAGAAATATATTCAGGCTACAAAAGAATGATTTTTTAAGCTAATGTCTTCCCACTTCCAGAGTCAAGAGATAGCATTCTGACTAATATTTTACTTAACTCACCAGGCACACCAGTCTGCTGTGTGGCTTTTTTTCTTGCCTTTGGATTAAACAAAAAATGATTGTAATTCTGCTGATGTCTATGTCTGTGGTGGTGTACAGTGGTAAGTGGCAATGTATTTTTATCATTTTTTGACATTATGCCAAAATACTATTTTAAGTATGAGCATTTGGAAACAATCCTTTAGAAACACGCCTTCTCTCCCCTCAAATTTGGATGTTGTTGTTCAACATCCAAATGCACTTAAATAGGTTTATTTATGAAGTACTTATAAAAATATTTTTCTCAGGACATCTAGTGAAGCAAGAAATATTTAGTGGGGTTAAAAATATAACCAAAAAATTGCTACTTCCCTTTGCTAGCACTTGGTCTATTTAAATCTTTTAGACTCCAAAAATTGCAGGTTACATATACAGAGATTCTACTCATTAAGTACACGTGTATTGTCTTAATTCTCCAAACTACTCAGTGCATCCTGAAATAAAACCTCTGTTCACATAAAGCTCCTCTTTCAAATTTTACTATAAATAGGATTTTTTTCTTCATGTAACTCATTAGATTTTATTGTTATGATTGAGTGAACATCCCAGAGACAGGGATGGGGGAACATCTCAAATTTCTGCAGTCCCTGCACTGTGTATGAATGCCAGCAAGAGTTGTGAAAAGAAGGACTCCTAGAAGGTCTAACACCATTTCTGGTCAATCCATGGGGTTATTTCTAAAGGGAAAAAAAAAGCTCAGGACAAACTCTGCACTGACCTACTTCAGCTTCACCAGTTGCCTCTCTTCTGAGTGTTGCTTGCATTGGAATTCAAAAAAACCCCTGGATCTAACACAAGAAACCACACAGGGTAAAATATATTGATGAAGCTGAACTCTAAGTCTCCCTATATGGAGGGAAATCAGTGAGAATATTCACATTTCCCACTGCAGTGATAGAGAATGCTAAAATACCTGCACCATTTATTAATTTAAAAAATTATTTTAAATTTTTAATAGAATTTTTTAATAAAATGTTTAAATTTTATTATTTTTTTATGTTGATAGTCATTCAAAAATATCTGGTCACTCATAAATTTTTTTCTCATATAACATTTGAAAGAGACCCCAAAAACCTTAAAAGGCTGTGCAACAGTATTTAGATTCTTTTCGCCCAGCTAAGCACAATCTAAGCACAAAGATTTAAAATGTTACCATGTTTAGGTTTGGAGAGGATAATTGATTTATATTTGTGTGGGATCTATTCTGCTGATCTCTGCTTTGAGACTGAAGCAAATATCCGTACATGAAGTAGCATCTTTGAGAGGAGTTAATGTGATTTACCTTGAATAAATCAAATAGGTTGGGTTTGATGCACCCTGACTTTTCCTGGCACAATCGATATTTCTTCTCCCCAAGGATTAGAATGACTGTACCTGTGCCCTGTATTATGACATTTTAATGAGCCACAATTGCAAAAAAAAAAAAAAAACAAAACTGGAGGTACACTGATGGTTTTTTTGATGGACTTTTTTTCAGGCAACACTTCAGAAAACTCTTGTCACACTAGGAAAGTCACAGATGCAGAAACAATTTTACACGTAACTGAATGTTGAAAGAAGTTCCATGGATAACATATACAAAGGGAAAGCCCAAGAGCTGATGTATGACACAAGTCTCAGTATATGTGCCAAGTTTTTTAGCAGATTTTAGAGAAAGGTGAGAGAAGCTGACATCCTCAGGGTCTTCTGAGATTTAGGGGGTTGAGTTTTGTAGTGCAACCTTTCACTGGCTGTACAGGGAATGATATAGGACCAGTAGCTCCAAATACATGATACCGAAAGAAGAAAAGAGAATAATTAATCCAGAAAGTATTTTCTCTTAGTTCCTTCCCCCCCCCCAATTTAAACAAAAGTGAGCAATCTTGTTAGCAAACATCGGTTCATTGATCTTGACTTAGTGACAATTGGAAATATTGTTCTTTGTAATGAGAGGATTAGAAGAGCCAATGGTTTACCAAGCTGCTGCCTTTGTGGCAGAGATTCTTTTCCAGGGGGAACTTCAAACATTTATGTGTTAATTGTGTGTACAGTTCAGTTTGCTGAGAAGAACTAAGTGCAAGTGAAGGATACTGGAGCAATCACAGCTTCCAGCAGCCCTGGAATATGGCTCCATCAATTTTCTCTTCTGATGCATTTCAAATGAATGGGATTTTCATGTTTTTCAAAGTTTTGCTGAAAAGACTAAATGATCAATGGCTGTTCATCAACGGACACTGTGTTTGAGCCATGGTGTTATGCAAACCTGGCCCTAGATGCACTCGGTAGAACACAGCTCAGAGGAAGGATATTTGTCATTGCAGAGGAAATACAGGTTTTAAGCCTGAAAATAAGGGTCAGTTTTTCTTTAGCAAGCATATATACAAATATAGCATTCAATGCTGTTTTTGAAAACCATGGCATTATTTTTCTTGAATCTAAATTCCTTATGGCCATCAAGCTTTCAACAGACTTGTTCCAGTTCTGTGAAAAGGACAGCCTTTATCGAAAGACCTTTTCTGGACTGTGGAAAGCAATTTTTTCCCCTTGGATCTGCTGCAATGATGGACATTTCTGACAAATTACTGTTTATCTGAAAGCTTCTTGTGACTAAGGCTTTCAGGAAAAGAATAACACAAGAGGTAGCACCTCTTCCTGCCTCACTCAATCCCCTATCCATCCATATCTTGCAACTGAACTTGAGAAATGAATTGCTGGATTGTTACCATGAACATCTTGCTCATGCCACAAAAGTTGTGGGCATCCTGAGAAAGCCCTTATATGTGATTAAAAAAAAAAATCCTATTTTTCCTAATCCTTTGCTAAACATGCAGTTAAGCTTTACACCTAAAAAGCCACTACTCTGCTTTACTCTCTTCCACCTATATTTATAGCAGGAAAATGTGACAGCTGAGCAAGAGAACTCTTTCCCAGAATCTTTTGTAGAGAAAAAGGACAGCTTTCCTAATGCCAGTTATTCTGAGACATAAGATATGCCATATATTTAACATTATGGGTTTTTTTAGTTTTCAGTTTTTAGATTCTTGAGACAGTAAATACCCTTGACTTACTATGTTTTTTAAAGAAAAGCTAAATTTAAATAAAATCCAAAGTAGCACATTTTCTTCTAAAATCATCCAGAGGAAAAGAACAGATTAAAAATGGGAAGGGAGATAACAAGTATTAGATTTCACTCTAATTCAAGACTTGGAAAACAGAAAAAAAAATGAAAGTGTTGAAAATATACCAAATATACCACAGCATCCTCAAAAAGAAAAAGAGATAATTAACTTTATGAATAAATAAATAGTGATAGGAAGAGAGGCAATGAGGCAATAAGGTAATAGCCAAAAAGGACTCAGAAAAACCAAACTACTTGTCTTCAGATAACCTTGCTTCAAATAAGAGCACAGGTTTACAGAGTAGAAATATTTGGGGCATAGTTGGGCACTAAAATAGTTTTAAATAATTCTCCTGATTTATCCCAGTAAGGGCTAATGTTCAGGTGAGCACAGGAAGACACAGGTTAGCACACCCTCAACAGCAATACCTGTCTAATAAAGACTGGTTTTTGAGCTGAAGTGGATGTGACTTACCTCTATGCTTCTGGGCTTTCCTGGGTGTGGGTGGAGCTGAGCAAGTGCTTCATGGCTTTGATAAATCAGCTTGTCAGTGCAGGAAGGTGTTCAAAATGCCTGCAGGCTATGTGTCATAATGAAATATATGTTGCTGGTTTACTGTGTTGTTGTGTTTTTTCTTTTAAAAACCTTTTTCTTCTGAAATTTGTTTGCCGAGATAGGTGGCCAAGACCTGGAGCCACCAGCATTCCTGCCAGAGCTTCTTAACACGCCTGAGAGAATCTTGAGTAAGAATGGTTTAAACTATACTTTCTGTGTTCTTGCATGGCAGTGGGGAATCCCTCCTCCTCCAGAAGCATTGCAGGGAAGTGGACTGTGAGCAAATAGCTGGGAACTCATCTCAGAATGGTTTAACACCTGAAGCAAGACCAGGGACAATCTAGAGACAGTTACTGTCATTTACTTTTCTTAAAAATAAGTGTGGTTTGTTTATTTTTTCATTTAGATAATGCCACACTCTTCAACGGAGTCTTTCAAAATGTGGAAAGTGTTGCATTATTTTTTGGTAAGTATGTGTTCCAGTTGTACTTGAGCACTGAACAGAAATCCTGTAGAGTTTGCTTTTATATGCTTACTGAGAAGAAACAGGAGTTTTTGAAGCTGTAGATTTCCCCAAAGACTACTGTAATACTAAATACTGCTGAGTGCCAAACACTTCTCAATGTCCCTGTGTTACTGCCTTGTTTAGGCTTCATGTTCATGTGGATGACCCACTCCTGGCTCACCTCCATTTACCATGTGTTTTATGACTGTTCCCTTTCCAGACTGCCTGGGTTCTCACTTCACCTGGTTACAGTCCATCTTCACTAACTTCCCTGCCCTTCTCAACTTTGTGAACAAGATGAAGTGTGTTACTGGGTTTTGCCCCAGGGATTTTGAAGACTATGGTTGCTCTTGCAGGTTTGAGATGGAAGGGCTCCCCGTGGATGAAGTTGATGAGTAAGTCATATCCATGAGATGTCCTTTTCTGCCCTGACTGTCTCTAAATGCCCTCATGCTCTGATTATCCAAAGCATAACACGAGTGTAAATGTTTTCAAGACAGTTGTGAAAAAAAAAACATTATTTGGGAGTAAATAAGACCCACACCATCTGGCTCTGTTTAATTAATCATCACTCACTTGCCACTGGAATGTCTGATATGACCAATGAAAGATAACTTCAAGTCTGGTATATCAGCCCTTCCTGTGTTATTCCTACCTGCTGGTGAGCACTGTCTGCTTTGCTGGGCCAACAGCTCGTACCAGTTGCCTCAGAGCACGGCTTGGGAACAGACCTTTGTGAACAAAACCTCATACATTCCTTGGTACTGGGGAATTCTCCAGAACAAGTAAATCAGTGACAAAAACTGGAGGCCCTGTTAATAAAGAGAGTGGGGGAGCTCTAATCTGAGCAGTTTGGTGGGTTTGCAGTTTTACCAAACTGTTGGTATTGGGGGCTGTGTAATAAACCAGCAATCTAAGTTCATAGTGGACTCTAATAAAAATCTTGGCATCTGAGGGGGATTTAAGCATCAGCAGAATCAGGTTACAGCTAAGTATGACTTTAGGTGGCGTAAGGAGCTTAAGTAGATCATGCCCTGAGTGCCTTTGTACACGACAAGGTTGTAAGACATGGGAGCATCAAGGGCAGAGAAGAGCAATGTAGCTCAATGGTTCTTCTCAGTACCATGCACCAGGAAAAAAACCATCCAAACTCCACTCTGTGCTTTGGAGGGACATTGCCCCAGACTGACTGGGCTAGTGAGAAAAAATGTAATCTTGGGCCAGGACAATCAGATCATTGTTCACTTATGTCAGCAGGGGGGTTAAAAGGAAATTCAAAGAGAATCAAGATACGTTTATGTGTTTGCGGAAAAAAGTGTTTCCAACAATATAATGTATTCATTCCCTGCATGAAGACAGCAATGGCTCAGAAAAGGCTGATGCCTATAGCTAGATGGAAATTAATCCATCCACTTTGCAGCATGGGATGGCTGGGAGAATGGAGATCTAACTCTGCTGCTGGAAAACAGCCATGGAACTTCTCTATGAAAGGTTTTTCTGAACAATTGTGATGACATCCTGAAATGAGAGCTCGAGTCAGTTCAATGGATTGATACCCAAAGAGCTGAGCACCTGGGCTTTTTGCTTCACTCAGCTTTATTTTAATGTAGACCAGCATAAAACCAGAAACTACAGAACCATCCATCAGCAGGTTTGTCCTGAGAAACATCCACAGAGTCAGTTTGTGTTTACAAATTGGTTTCCAGCCCCAGGGTGAGGTATCCTTAGCAGCACAGAAATCTCACTGCCGTGTGCAGCGAACGGGGACTGACTATTGCTTTGCCACTGACACAGATGTGCCCTTGGCTCAAGAGAGCCTCCAAACCAGTGGCTGTTATGTGTTTGTCCCAGAGACAGTTCCCAAAGTGTTGCAACTTTTTTCACTAACTTATTTCTTAAAAACTAGTTTAGCAATCCTTGGGTTTTGTCCCTGTCATTTCTGTTCCACAAGAAAGGGCTGAACACCTCACTGCAGGTTTTTAAGGCGTTAGAAAGTGCCTTAGTGCCTAAAAAACCAACCCTTTCCTATGTCCCAGAGTAGTTAATTGTCATATCTAAATTAGGAGCCTAGTCTACCTCCATAGTCCACATGAAAAAGAAGCATAACCAGGGGACAATCCATGCCTTACAATCTCCTGCTTACAAAGGCAAAGTAAGTAAATTTTCGGATTAACTGGTGCAGTAAGTGTTGATGTAATTGTGATGCTCTAAACAAACAAGAACTGCATGGAGCTTGTATTAGACTAATTATGCAGCTAGAGGAGCTTTCAAATGCTAACACATCACTAGACCTCAGGCAGAGACAGGAGTGTTTTGAGACATGTCATCAGCTAGATCGTTAAGACCCTGTTCCTGATGGAGCTCACAAACTTCAGCCTCACCTCTGAAACAAGGCACGGTAGAATTTGTGGTGCAGAGGAGCCACCAGGGCCTCTCTGCTGAATGCTATTTCATTTGTTAGCTACATTATTTGGACTCCCCTGGTTGTGAGGACAAATTAAATATTGTAATCATGATTTATTAATATAGTAAGCAATTAAATATTAAATGCTTTCTAAATATAGAAAGTGAGAAAGTGCACTTGTAGCCTAGAAGGGAGCCTGGCAAGGGACAGGTGTTTGCTCTGTGCTCTAATCACCACGGGACTGTTTTGTCCCCTGGTGCCTCAGGGCGGTGGGTGATGTGTAATAACATGTTTCACTGTGCCTTTAGCAAAAATCCCACGTGAGCTTAACTAAATGCAACTCCTTACTTTGTGATCACAAGTTCATCCTTCCTGGTAGCAGCTGCTGGATGTGGGTGTTCATGTTGTCTTTACATTTGGCATGGTCCAGGCCAACGGCAATTCAATAACAGACCCATATGCTGAGTCCCTTTCTCTGAAATGAGGATGTTTCAATCTCAATCTAACAGCAAACTTCTGTTTAATCTATACAACAATTTTACATGGGTTAAATGATGACTTCAGTCTTTTACTGGTGTTTCATTTACAGCTGACATCAGTGTACACAGATGCTGCTATTATATAAAAGCAGATGATTTATCTGTACAATCAGGTGAAGAGAGGAGAGGATTGATGAAGAACTTGTTGTTTTACTTGAATTTTTATTGCTATTCACAGCTATAGTGGCCATGCAGGCATTTGAGGTTTGCAGGACAGCAACTGTGTAGGAAAACACAAGGTTTCTGACTGCCTGTGTTGTGTGGTGGTAGGAGAAAGCTGCTTCACTCCAGTGTGAGAAAATTATTTTATGGCCCTTTCCTGTGGATAAATGGTGCATTTTAATTCTAATTGTTGCATAGAAGTAAAAGAAATAGAGGATGACAGTACCTGTATTTATGCAGTCCCAATGAGACACAGGGATCTGCAAGGCACTGCAAAGCCATTAACCCTCCATGAGTGCCAGGTTCAGAGTAGTTCTCCAAATTTGCAGTGGGAAAGGTTGGGACAGGACTGCATCCAAGACCTCTAGAGTCGAGCCATGGGACAATGTTTGTCAGTGAGGTGACAGTGCTGGGGGGAAGTATTTGGGCACTGATAGTGGATTTCTTATTTAAGCTGCCTGTAGACTCCTTGTAAGCTCAGGTACCACAGTAGGACAGAAATGTGTGGTCACACACAGCACGCAGACCCGCTCCCACAACTCAGTGCTGAATCCAGATATCTTTATCCGACTACTTTCACTCAGAGAAAAGCAGCACCCAGCCTTTCTTTTGTCTGGGGATCACACCATGGATCCCCCTTTTCTCCTTTAGCACCTTTTGCGTTGTTGTGCAAGAGCAACATGGCAGCATTACAGCCTGACTTCAAACTGAAACTAAATTGTGAGAACTCTCTGTTATTTCATTCTTAAGATGCTGCTTCCAGCACCGCAAATGCTACGAGGAAGCACTGGAGATGGAGTGCACATGGGACCCATCAAAGATTTCTACAGATGTCAGCTGCTCTACTGAAAACCTGACCTGTGGTGAGATTAACCTGTCACAAGAGCTAACACTGGAGCCTCACTATGACCAGAAGTGCATTCTGGTCTATCTACCAAAAGTCATAGACAAATTAAACAGAAACTGCCAGGGCTTGCCAGGGCTCCTGCAGCAGGCAGCCTCTCCCTGAGGTTTCCCTGACTTTTCAGGACCACTAAACACTGCTTGAGATGTCTCCGCACAACAGAAATGCAGCAGATGCAGAGTAGAGACCTGAAAAACAATTCTCTTCTGAGGTGTCAAGGTCTGATTTTTATAAATGAACCAGACAGGCAATAATCTTTTTGCCAGGCATGCCAGACTTCATTGGTTTGTGTTTCAAAACCAGTGTTGGACTATGAAACTTGACTGTGTTTGGCATGGAGAAGCTCAGTATAAATAGGTTTGCACTAATGAATACAGGCACAAACCTTACAGGGAGGAAAAAGCAGGTGGAAAATGTTTTTCAATAGTGCCTTGTTTGGATTTTTGTTTTATTTCCAGAGTCTGGGGATCCCTGTGAACAGTTCCTCTGCACCTGTGACAAAGATGCCATTGAATGCCTTGTGAATGCACATATTAACTCTTCCCTGAATGGGCTGGATGTCTCCTTCTGTCCATCTCCAATTACAGGTAATAATAAGGATCTGATCCACTGCCTCCTCCTGCCAGTTTGTCTGCCAGTATCGAATTTGACCCAAGGAGAATGAAGCAGTAGCTGGGTGCTTTCCTGCCATAAACCTGGCAGTCTGTCCTGTTCTCAGTTTCATGTGTCCTGCCCATTTACTGCTACTCAAGTGAATATCAGGAGAGGAGAAGGCAGCAGACTAATTGCTGTCCTGGAGCAGGTCCAGGAGAGGTTACTGGGATGGGGAGGGGGCTGAAGCTCATGATGAAAGAGAAGGAGGCTAGGGGGAGATGTTTTTGCTGTCCTCAGTACTTAGTGAGGTGTGTAGAGAAGATGGAGCCAGACTCTTCCTGGAGGTGCATAAGGACAGGACAAGAGGCAAGACACACAACTACAACAGGGAAGTTCCAGTTAGATATGAAGAAATTTTTTTCTTCAGGAAGGTCCTGTCAGCCTTGTGAGGCTTTTTGCAGCTGGAATGAATGAGTGATATGTGTGATGAGGTCACTAGCAGAAATGCTAAAGATATTGCTGGCCAAAATCTTCCCTTGAACCATGCAAAAACTAACTGGAAAAGTGAGAAACAGGCTTATTCTGGTCAGTTACTTGGTTTCCATTTTGGAAGGAAAAATCCCTGCTAAAGGTGAAGGGGATGTTTATGTCCATTGTCATACACTGATCCCAGCTCTGTAGCTGAAATTACAGCCTTGTGAGACCAAATACCTGTCCTGTGGGAGCAGGGCTGGATTAAAAACTTCATTCCTATGGATTGCAATTGGAGCATGGCAGGGGGAGGACCTTTGGACTCCCAAACTGAGGGAGATGGGAAAAAGCAACATTAGCTTTTCTAATCCTTTTGGCTCATAGTCACAGACCTCGGTGCTGAGATCAGGCATACACCTCTATATCATGCTCTGGATGTGTGCATCCCCTCCTGAGTAGGTCAAGGGAGAAGAAAATGCCCCAGGCAAGTTTGCATGGAAGCCAGGTTGTTTTTTTGGGGGTTGTTGTTGGTTTTGGTTTTTTTTTAAAGACATTAATCTTTCACTGGGATCAGATGGCCCTAATATACAGTATGGTAGTTCCAAGACACTGCAAATAAAGGGGAAATTGTTAGGTGCTAACAGGAAAATCATGCTGGTTTTACCACTGCTGATAAAGATGGATTAATTTTTAGGTCCTGGATACCTCCACTGATTTTAGGTTCTCAATTATATTTCTTGATACGAATAAAAAGCCTTTGAATTAAATATTTTTATTTAGTATTCAGTCATGTTATTATCCTTCTGTGTAGCTATTCTGTTCAGTTCAGATTTTGGGGGAAAAAAATCCTATCTGGTAAATTTACAGGAAAAGGATTTTGGTAGATTCTTTATTACAGAGAAAAATTTTAGTGAAATGGGCATGTGTTTGACTAAACCTTTGTTTTAATAGGAATACATTCAATGAATGCCTGACCTATTCAGATCAAACAGTGACAAATCCCCTTCTCACACTTTATGAGAGACCTTTCTCTTTTTCAGAAACAATCAGCAACAGAGAGCTGACAACACGTCATACAGAAGGTAGGTCATCTCTATAATTCTTTGTCTGGAACATATTAAATTGAGACCAATTTATACTCAGAAAAATAACCTGCTGAAACAGGAATTTAAAGAATGGTGATTGCTCGCCAATTCCTATTTTTTATGTTGAAACTCTTTGAGATTATTTTTTATTATTATACTCTATGTTGCTGAGTAGAATTTAGTATCAGCATGGTATAAGTACTAAATCAGAATTTTAATACTGCTACTGTGATTATAAATAATTAGGTTTATATTTTCTATATTTATATCATAAAATAACTGCACAAAAAGGACAATAATAATATCTAGAAATAAATTCTCTTTTGATGACTCTTATCATGTTATGCCAAGATCCAGTCTAAGGAGCATCCTAAGCCATGAGTCTTTGGAGTTAACAATGCTTTTCCTTTTGCAGAGCTCCTTCATCGTGGGACTGATGAAACATGGGCAGTGACTGCATCTGTGGAAGAAGGTTTGCAACTTAGAGTGCAAGAAGCTCTGTTTTCAGCTCCCAAAAGCTGAAAGAATACAAGCTGTTCACTTTCTTTCTGCCCTTCTAAAAGGACTGATGTAGAAGCAGATACAATGTTTTGGTGATTGAATTCAAGACTGAATGGGAAGGTGCAATTTTTCAATTTGTGCATGTAATGTGTTTAACCAGTGTTTACAGTAAGTTTCCCAAGAGCTGAGAATGAGCACTCTACAACAAAATCTGTTTTCACAACCTTTTTTTCCCCTGGGAACACAGGTTGGAGCAGGTGAGCTGTTTGACAGAGACGTGCTGTGTGGGTGCCAGCCACTGGACCCAGAGCTATTTGCATCTTTCTTGTCTTTAAAGAGATGTTTGTTTAATTCCACAAGATCAAGCAAGAGCACGAGGAAAGACTGAACATGGTTTGTGGCAATGAGGCAGCAGTTTGGTGATTTATTTATTTGTAATGCAGAGATCCAGGTTGAACTCTTCTCACTCTGGTGCCTCCTGAGTGAGTCCCTAAACCACGAGACCAAGTGGTTCTTGTGACAGTCTTCATTTTTTTCCTGCTACAATCAATGTTTGTCTAATTGAGGAGTCTATGCTTGCAAAAACTCATTGCTGCAGTGTTGTAGTTTGAGACCCCCAAAATCCAATTCTTGAGTCCAAGCTCCCCTCCCCACATCTCAACCAGTGTGAGATGGGTTTTCCAGACACCACACAAGACTCAGTATGGGGGGAAAGGGGATTATATTACAATGACTGTACAAATAAATATCACAATACATCATATACATAATCTTAACTATCTTTCCTATGATAAATCAGTATTTACAATGAATCAATCTTTTCTCCCTCCAATAAAAGTCCAGAAGGGAAAAGGAAAGATCCTTTCCACTCTTTGAGAGGCAGTCTCTCTAGGGCAGCAGTCTCTCTTCTATCTTCCATGCAGCAGCTGTAGCTGGATCTCTTTCCATTACACACGAGGAGGGTCTCCAAGCCCCTCTCAGCCCTTCGACTTCAAGCGAGGGTCTTTCTCTTCTGTGGGCTGCGTTCACCAGGACAAAGGTCACTTCACCACGTCATATCACAAAGTGCAGGAGTCTTCGTGACGGTCCTTATCCTCAGGGGATTCAAGCTCCCTTGCAGAGCTCCCGTGCTCTGTCTCAGGCTGTTAGCTTAGCAGTAACAGCGGGGGGGGGGCAAGGTCAGCCCCTCCGCATTCCATCTGGCCATCCCAGTCCAGTTCCGGGACATCTTTGAGCTTCTCAGCTCCTCTCTCCAGTGCATGCTGCATTTTAGGACTTCCATCCAGTAGGAGTGCACCCCCTCCACTTAGGAGAGGTCACAAAAGGGTTTTGGGGGGTTTGTTTTATTCTTACCCCAAACTTTGTCTCTGTAGGGCTTAGTTCTGCTCTCTCTCTCCATTAGAGATCTCTGTGTCTTCCTTAGCTGCATGCTGTCTCTGCTGCTCCTTATCTCCTTCTGGCTCTCTGCCACTGTTCTCCGGTCAGTGCTGTGTCTGCCGCTGCTCCGTCTGCCCACTCAGGATGAAGAAAACTCCTTCAGCTTTCTAGCTACAGATCTCAGTCCAGTTTAACACTGTCCAAGTTCCTGCAGCCCCCCAGCTGGGGCTGGGGGGGCCTAGCCCCCAACGGGGCTCTGGGCCCCTTCCTCATGGCTCTACAACATGGCCACTTCAACAACAACCACTACCCTTCTTTTCCAGTCTGGCTGTTGATATGTTTAGATCTTGCAGGAGCACTCATTGGCTCAACCCCAAGGGTCACCACCCCCTGGGGGGGTTACCATTTTTTTTAACTCCAGCAGGAGAACTTTTTTCCCCCACTACATGCAGTATGAGAAAACTACTCTCTTCCTGCCCGCATGGTGAGCACTGCAACACGAGAGGCCAGGGACAGAAGTCACCCAAAGTCCCACCCTCTGGGAGGGCACACCTGATAAATGAGGGCCAAGTCCTGCAGGCAGGAAATAGAGAAGGAGTCAAGTCTGAGACCAGCCATTGCCCAGTTTAGCTGCTGAACTCTTGCTATGTGGCTCCCTCACAAGCAAAGCCCCACTGCCATGTTCAGAGACCCCCTATCTGCCAAGCATATGAGTACTGGGTGGGTACAACCAAGCCACTGCTTAACTCAGAAAATCACAGAATGTTTTGGGTTGGAAGGGACCTTGAAGATCAGATGGTTCCAATGCCCCTGCTGTGGGCAGGGACACCTTCCATTAGACTTGGTTGCCTGGGGAGAGGTGGAAAGTCACATTTTTTTAGAACTTCAGAACCTGGTTTCAAGGTGTAGTGTGCTCCTCTCTGTGAGCCACTGCCCTAAGTGTCAATTTGGAATAATGAAAACCATACAGAATCTTACTTTTTTTTTTTTTTTTTTTTTTTTAAGAAACAACACTTCTGACTTTTAAAGGGTTTTTTTTTTCTATTACTTTTTAAAAAAACAGCACAGGCATAAGTGTGTGTACTTGAAAAGCCTGAGTGTAAGTGCTGGCTGTTCCTTCATATCTCTCCTGTATTATCAAAGTAGTTTTTTTACCAGATATTTCTCATTTTCACCTAGCAACAGCTCCAGTTTTGGTCCATGTTTTGCTAGCTGCTTCTGGGAAGCTTGGTAATAGAAAACTGAGAACTCCTGAAGGAGCAAGAGCACCTGTATTTGCACATCTGCAGCAATCTTTTACTTCCTGAAAAACAATTACTCATGCTCTCTAAAGAGGCATAAGTCCAACATAAGGCTCAAAATATTACCAAGGGATAAAAACCTGTACTAGGAATTTTAGAAAGCTGAAAATGTATCACAGATAACATACCTAGTCAGACTTTGAAGGAGACATTTGGAGAACCACCTACCATTTAATTCTCCTCGTTCAAGCCCAAAGGAGCTTCCACTTTGACAACTCTGGAAGATGCATTAAACACAAGTTAAGTATCACTCAGAAACTCATTCAAAGGCAAAGGCATTCTTCTTCACATCCCAAAGCCCTAACAACACACAAAAAGAGGCAGAGATGATTTTTTGATCATTTGATAGCAATGCTTCTAATTTGTCCAAAGGTAACTGACAAATGATATTCATTTTATCAGGTAAAGAAATAAATTAGAGGTTAGGGAGTTATTTGGCCTTATAGGTGCCCACCCATATCTGTGCAGGCAAACACAAGGTGTTCACAAGGAATGTGGCATCCTTCTGTGCACAACAGTGGGATTTCAGACCTAAGCCTGTTTAATCTATTTGTGTGTCAAATGGACTTCATTTTGAATTTCCCACTTCAGTCATATTTATGCTGCTTCTTTCATAGAAACATAATCCTATGTTAGTGCAAAGTACATTATTTGCATGCAGCAATGAGATTATTTTATCAATATCACTTTGTCTACAACAATCAATACACCACTGAAAAAAATAGGCAAATCTCTCTCCATGACATGCCTGGGTCTTCCTGTTTTCAGAATAATCTCTTAGCAACTATTCATAAGAGTCTGTGCTGGCAACTTGTTTTCTGAGTTTACATTTTCTATCTTCAACAGTGATTTCTTTTGAGCCCAGTGAAATGATCTTGGTGACTCCCAAAGCCAGAGGTAAGAATCTGATTAAACTTCTATTAAAAATTTGGTGGTCTTGACTCAAGGTGAAGTTGGATTTTCATTTATGAAGCTCTGTGGTGTCACAGTCAAAAATCTGCAGCACAGGATTTCTGGATAACACCTCTACTACTTCTGCTGACTCGCACATCCCTCAGCAAACCACTTCCTTTCTCCTAATTACCCTCTTTATAAACCCACGCTAATAGTGATGTTTGTTTAAGCTTTATAATGCATTCAGGAGTAGTCACTCCAGAAATGCAGAGCAGAAATGCAGCAGGTAGGTCACTACCACCATGCCTCTGTTTTTTGTACAGTAACCACGAGGGACCACAGAGGAACAGCTCCTGCTCCTCCCATCCTGTCAATAAAAGGTCAGTGACCCTCAGTTTTCCTCTTTCTTTGACTGACACAGCAATTCTTTCTCTAAAAGCATCACAGTTAAAACCCTGGGCATGGTGACAACAGGGCTGCCAGAGAATCAAATTTAGATCGGGGTCAGATAGCAGATACACAAACAATAAAACCAGACCGAGAAGCATTAGCTGTTTCTTGCCTCCAGCCACTCATTTGCACTCCTCACCCAAGTATTTCTGAAAACCTCTTCACATAAGGTTTTCAGATGTAATGGTTGGTGCTGTAAATTACATTCATAGCATCTGCTGCCAGAAGGATTCTCTTTCATTTTGCCTTCTCCTTTATTATAGATAATTTCATCAAATTCTTTACCAGTCTAAAACCTGTTTCAACTTTCACAGGTGTCTGTGCTTCAAGCACAGCCATACCAGTAGGTACAGCTAAAAATGGAGCACCTTGGTAGACTTGGAACTTTTCTGTGGCCCTCTCTGTGTAGAAAGGATTATCCAGGCAGAATGAAATGCACCAGAAAAATGTCAAGGTACATCGTATATGGAGAGTAGAAAGTAATCATTTTTTGACTCTGATTACACTGAGCAGTATCCTGTCTCCCACCTTAGTGCAGAAATTTGGCATTACTGAACAAACACTGGTGAAAATCACTAAATGTTCTCCCCCTTAATTTGAATGGATCAGAAAATCTGTGTATTGTGTTCCAGGCCTGCACAGCTCCCAGGAGATTATTTGTAATATTTATTCTTTGTGCAGAACTTCCCAAACTCTGGGGTTTATTTTCTAAATCTAGCAAGAATCGCTTTCATTTCAACACATCACTGCCACAGTGGTATAAAATGTGCATCTTGCTGAGCCATCAAAACTAGTGTGTGACTATTGATCGCTTTCTGCCACCTTTCATGGGCTTTGTTGTGTTCTTAGCAGTACTTTCATTTCTTCTAATCTGTTCTCTTGTCCTATGACAGGTTATTTTCAAAACATACTAAAACTAGAACGTCAGAGAGACAAGTTTAATGAATTTGGGTTTAGTCCAATTAAAAATTTCAGCCAAAGAATTCAAAAGAAAAGCTCTTAAAATATTGAAACTCAAGCTCACTGGTATTTTCAGAGTATTTAGTTTGTGAAATGCCACATGCTTCATATTGACATTTAGAAAAAATGAAACCATTTGATAACAGTGCTTTCTTTTACAAGCTAGCTTATATAAAAAAGAAGGTTTAAAAAGAAAGAAAAAAGGATGTTAAGTATCCACAAATTTAACAAAACATTCCTGCTCAACAATAAATATATACCAATTTAATTTTTAAACTAATCTCCTGAAAATAATGTATTTATATGTCAAATTATTTTGCCCTTGGTATTTCCTTGTTTACAACTCAGTAAACCCTTCAGTCAGCCAGCTCGGCATCAGTCAAATAATTTCCCGCTTTCACTAATGTTGCTCCACATTTTGGAACCTTCAGGTGAACAGACACTTTTTTTAAAGCAATTTACTCAGAAAATGACATCTCATGACATCTCACCTGGGCTTTATCTCTCAGTACAGCTGACTAAGAAGCAACTAACATGGTTTTCAGCAACTGGCACAGCTCTTTTTCTCAGTACACATAAATAAAATTAAAATAAAAAATCAGCAGTTAAACTGATCATCGTTAACAACAGTCCCTCCTTCTGAAAGGCAAGGATGTGAAGAAATGACCAGTGTGGATACTCTGCTTTTCCAATCTTCCTGTTGAATGTTTTTCTCTATGACCATCAATTCCCACTGGTTCTGCCTGAGGATATTACTCTGACCAGCTATCTAAAATTAAAATCTTGCTGTTTATTTTCCACGTCTTCTTCTGCTTTCCTGTTTCTGCTTGCTCAGAAGAAGATGGATTTATGGCAGCTGTGGCCCCAGTGGAAGCGATAACCACCTCCCCAGCCTCATTCCCAGGAGATATTAACTCGATGCAAGTCAAAATTGTCCCCACAGAGAAGATTTCCGCAGGCACATCTGCAAGGACAAAAGAAAAAGGCAAGTAAAAAATTAATTTATAGCACTCCCCTATTCCTGTTCACAGCTATCTGAGGAGTCAGCATTTTTCATGGATATGTAGACTAACATTATTTTCTCCCTAAATCTGGATAGGTTACATAGAATGCGGGGTGCACAACACTGACTGACCCTGGAAAGGGTAGTCTGACTGGACAAGGAAAGCTTAACTGACAAGGAAAGCTTAACTAACATTTAATGAACAGCCTCCCACTACAAATTTAAAAATTTTAGAAGACTGCCAGTTGATTATCCTTCAGAATGTGCACACATCACTGAAAGAAGAATTTATTCTACCTTCACAAATCTAATCTATGCATCTGTCCTCTCCAGAGACAAGTCCTGCAAGGGGTGGCCCAAGCATAGCTTCCTCTGCAATAGCTCTGGAACTGGGACTGTCTGACAGGGGACCCAATGAACCTGCAGGAAAAGGTAAATAAGGGGTTATTTCCCCATTATAGCTGATATTCATCTACCTCTATATTAAAAGTAGGTATATATTACATATAGAGATTATAGTTACTCTAAACCAGTTAGATAAGCACAGATGTATTGGTATTTATAAGAAAGGAGATGCAGGCATCTGCAAAACATTTCGTCAGTTTAACCTCTTCTGCCAATGTGCTATCACTAACACTTAAAGAACCTACTTATTATTCGGTTATAAGAACATTTTTCATACAGTGCATAATCTAAAATGAGCTCAGTGAATGTTCCCACTTGCTTTTAGGCAGTTCCTACTGCTTGTAGACAGTAATTTAATCACATTTTTAAGTTACCTTGTTTTACAGCAGAAGTAGAAGTAATATTAGGAACTTCCCTGATCCTCATTCTGACTGTTTGCAAGTCTTGCCAGAGTCAGACTTTTTCTCACCATTTCTCATTCTATTCCCATTCCTGCTCAGAGATCCCAGAAATCTCAAGACATTTCAGACCTGACACTGCTGTAGATTCACACTCATGGACTGTACCATCCATCTTGTTTGGTTTCCCAATGGAGAGAAGCAGCCCCAGAACTGGAAAAGAGCAGACATGAAGACTCAAACTAATCTTCCACCAAAGTGGAAAATTTGATTGTAAAATATCAGCTGTTAGAGAGCACATGTCAATGCATGAACCTTGTGGTTCATTCTCAGTGAATTAACATGAGAGAGTGAAGACTCAAGCAGGCATATAGGCAGAATTTCCCTTTGGAGGTAGTAAGCCAGGGTTGTCCCTGGAAGAAGCAGGGAGTCAGTCTAGAGCTGCAGAAGGGAAAATGGGATTATTTATGGGAGCGAGGAGGACGCAGAGGGAACAGAAGCCCTCCATCTCTCTCCTCCAATCCAACCAATCAGTCCCTTCAAGTCCTTTCCCTGGCAAAGTCTCAGAAGAGTCCCCCTTGACATCGTTTTTCTGATATGGAACACTGTGTTCACTCAAATCTTAGGAATAATTCCCACAATATCAGTTCTTCTTGAGTGGGGGGAGCCACAGAGACATTAGGATTGGGACATGGTGATGCCAAAACCTTGGCACCACAGCAGGCACTACAACAGATCATTCCTGTATCTGGACTAGGAGGATTATATAGATTGAACTGAACTATATTTCAAATGAAACCAAAAAAGATACTGCTTCCTCCAGCACAACACAGTCATTGCCCAGCTATCACTGTGCAAGCACAAGGGGTATTTGCTGAATAAGCTGAGACAGAAGCCCCTGAATACTCAGAAGAAAAATTTAGCTATGAAGGATAACAAAGGACTGCAAAGTATTCTCATTGCAATCCAATTTGACTTGTAATTATATTTTCAGAGGAAATCTCTCTCCCCTTTAAATATTTCCCTATCCTTCTGCTGTCTTGCTCAGCAGAATTCTAAGAGCCATAATTCATGGACTGGAGCAATAATTTACAGATTATAAAGTGTTGGCTTTCAAAGTTTCTGACAGCTCTGAAAACACTTTTGTCATGACAAGGGAGCCCCCAAGCAGTGAAAACATGATGTGTCAAATAACAACTTTGCTTTACAGTGTGTGAGCGATTAACCTTTCTGCAAGAGAGGGGAAGTGGAAGAGCGAAGAGGGAGCTGCCCCAGCTTGGAGAAATGCTGTTCTGCTTAACTGAGCGATGCCCAGAAGAATTTGAGTCTTATGGTTGCTATTGTGGCCAAGAGGGAAGAGGTCATCCCACCGATGCACTGGACAGGTGTGGGCTCTTCTGTGTTTGCCATTTACTGTGGGCATTATCGTGGTGCCCAAGGACTAAAAAAGATCAGTGCATCTTTTGTTGGGCATTGAATAGCTACGTATCAGTAGTCAGGTCACATTTTGGGGAAAAAAATCCACTTAAATACGTTAACACATGAAATACTCTGATGTCACTAAGACCCATTCTACTGTTGCGACAGTGTTTTGGAGAGGACTTACTAACTCAAAATAAGAAAGGAGAATGATGGCAGGTAAGCAGAGCAGAAGGAAGGGTATATTAAAAGGGATGAGGACAAGTGAAACTTGGCTAACAGGTGGTTTGGAAAGTGATTTATGAAGAGTTAACATCCACCCACACTGCACTGTCCTTCAGAAGAGAGAAGAGCTGGACCAAAGTCCTCCTGGAGCTGCAGCCCAAAGCCCTTCCATGCCTGACTGTGTGCTGTTATGGCACGGCTGTCAATGAGGAATAATGAAGAGAATTCAACCAAAGTAAAGACATCTCCTCTGAGAGTATTGTATTTACAAATAAAAATCTGTCCCTCTGTGGAAGTTGGGGCACATCAGGTCTAAATATAGCACCTGGTATACAGCACACACCTTTTTCCTACACTTGCACACAAGTAAGACTGCCCATGCACGAAAAATTAGGCTAGATGAAGGCTAGTGATCTGGCTATCGCGATGTAGTTTTCATATTTTCAGCCAAGATTTGAATACTGGAAGACACTTCTCATGGCAGATTAGGTCATGGTCACAATTGTAATTCTGTTCCTTAAAAAAACAACCCCCCCTAAAAAACAACAGCATTGTTAAACACGTGACACCAAAGGAATTAAGAAGGAAGAAAAAAAAGTAGGAGCAAGTATAGAAGGTAAGCAGGAATAGTTCGGGTTTTCTTCTTTATAGAAAAAAAAAATCCATGGTATGAAAATTTCTATAATTTCTAAAATTTCTTAGTTTTAATGGGCATTGAAAATAAAGACCTACAAATAATTGTGAGCACTCTGGGATGCAGGAAGTCTAAGTATTTTCCATTTACATCTACTGTTTATTTTAGATGCTGCTTCTCTCATCACTGTTGTATGGAACAAGTTAAGAAACTTGGATGTCATGCAGAAAGAAGTTCCAGATCTGAAGTATTATGTATTGATCATATGCCAAAATGTAAGTTTGTGTTAGAGGAAATTCTCATGTCCTGACAGTCTATCAGCATGACAGACTGAGTGCCACCATGACTGAGAGCTGCTAGGGCTGAGTATGGAGACAGAATTTAGTTTAGAAAAAGTTTGCAACATTTACTTTAAACTAGAGCTTTTTTCCTAGTTGAGACAAAGATTATTACACCACTGTGCATGATGTGACCAGATCAGGTTGAGAAAATTACATTCAGACATTTTGTAATTGCAGACAGGAGTCAGCTCTTTGTGTCTTTACATTCACAAATTCAACTAAAGCCAGTTGGACCTTCTGCTGCCGAGCACCTTGGTGTCAGGCTTGTATTTAGATGGCTAAAGGAGAATTTGGAGACTAAAATTTGAGGCAGATTTGAAAATTTTATCACACATTGGCTAATTTTAACTGCTTTCAAACATTAATTCTTAAACTCTTCTTTTTAAGGCATTGGTTGGAGCATATGTGAGAAACTCCTCTGTGCTTGTGACACGGCGGCAGCCGAGTGCATGGCCTCTGCCTTCTTCAACGAGAGCCTGAAGCTTCCACATGGGCGGGAGTGCCGGGAGGAGAAAGCCTTCTGTCAAAGTGACCCTTATGAAAGGCCCCCAATAGGCACAGAAACAGGCACAGGTATTTCCAGCTCTGAGGAGAGCAGTGAAGAGGAGGGTCCAGTGCGGAGACAATTAAGAAGAGCAAAGAGAGGGACACGCCGTTCCGTTGGGAACTCCGGAACTGGGGGACGTGGAGGCAGATAACCAGCCACCTTCATGGGCTTGGGAAGCAGCACGGAGCCTTTTGCAGTCAGCCACCGTGTACCTTACTCCTCCTTACCCTCTACAGGCTGCCTTACACAGCACACAGATATTGTAATCATAGACTAGGTATTAGAGTTAGGCTGTATTAACTCATTTCTGTAGGGAGGTCAGCACTACAGACAATCTATCTAGGTCAGATACAACACTAAATAATTATTTGACAGTGTTCTGTATAATTTCACTTGATTTTTATGTAAAACCTGTTCTGATCACAGACTGATTTTTGTTAACTGTGTGCTTGGTTCAGATTGACTCTCGCTGATGGTGGCTAAGTATTTCAGGTTTTTAATTAAACCAATCTGCAACTACTGCAACTCCTTTTGCAGACATTCTTCCTTTACTGAGCTTAGCAGGAAATACCCAGAAGGAAAGCTAAAGTAATTATATGAAGATGAGCTCCTTTTTCCATTCCTATCTATAGCTGTGTGTGACTCACTTCTGAGGGGGAGAGAAGGTCCAAAATGCTGGACAGACCCTTCTCTTAGGGAGAAGGGGCCCAAGTTAAGGACATCACTAGGAAACTTCCCAGGTTGGTATGGCCCTTGGACTATTACTCATTACTGTTCTTCCATGTGAGGGGTGATGAAGTCATGACATGCAATCCAAGGGTGATCAAGAGACTTCAGCACCTTGGAATGGTTGGTCACGGAATGTGGAGCACAGGTAATTTTTAGCCCTATCCTTCCAGAAACAGACAGACCCAGTCTATTAATATCTGTCTCCATGGCTGGTGTCACTGTTAGAATTTTGGGGTTTTCTGGTAACAGCACCAGGCCTGCTGGTGTCAGATGGGATTCACCTTTCTCACAGGGGAAAGAAGGTTTTTGCTCATGAGCTATCAGGGATGACAAGCTTTAAAACAGACTTGAAGGGAGAGAGGGGTAGTATCAGGCTGTGACAAGTCTTTAAAGGTCCCTTCCAACCCAAACCATTCCATGATTCTATGACTCACATTTGTTAGAACAAAAATTTTGCTACAAACTTTGCAGGGATTCAGATGCTCTGAAAGGTCTGGATTTCTTCTCTATCACCTTGTTCTACAGGGCTGAACTTTGTCACCAAAGTTTTCCTTAAAGACCAGTGACTGTATCCTCATGCTGGATACAGAGATGCTACCTGTGTTTTTCCAGATCATGCAGCAGTTACCTAAACTCCAGCATTTGATCTGTGCAAACTGAATGGTGTGAGAACTGCAGATGAAAACTCCAGTGAATGTTCTTGGATGAGCAGTTTATATGGTATAAACATCTGGCTGGTGCTATTCCCCTCTCAGTATTTTTCCTACATTCAAAATGCAAAGGATTAGTGCCGTGCAAAAAATCCTCAAAAAGCCAAAACACAAAAGCAAAAAAACCACCACACACACTCCCAAAATAAACCCCCAAAGGTGTTTAGTCACGTGAATCCCACTGGATCCCAGTGGCTACACCACCAGCACTAGTGAAAAAACACAACAGAATAAAAGGACATTTTTTAAGGGAAGGCAGAGAGGACAGCCAAGTGATGTGAGAAATTCTATCTGCAGACAAGATTTTAATTAAGTTCCTCCTTATGCTGTAAAGAAAGAGGACATCTCAGTTCTGAAGCAAAATGCTACAACTGCAAAATGCCCATTTTTGCCCTATGCTGAGGATGAGATCTGCATTACACTGGAACTTTCATCAGCCTTTTATCTTAGGGATGAAAAATTATTTTATATTTCACAGCATTTATAAATAAAGACGGCAATGAAAAAGTGAGATAATGAGCTGAAATGGGAAAAACTGGCCTTTAAACAAGTGAATGAAGTGCACTGCTGAGCAATTATAACACCAGCTCATTTCTCTGATGAGAGCAGTGCTGCTGCTCTGAACACTGCACCTTAAAATAAAAACTCACTCCTTTGTGCTAATTATTAGAAACCAGTATTAACTTCATGGTTATACAAATAACACATGCACATACTCACTCAACAACGCTGAATTTTCTGATTGCAGAGATAGGGATGGATCATCTGAATCGATCAAGTAACAGAGAAATTACAATATAAATATGCTGTTATTCAGGCAATGTTGTCATTAATTCCTTTGGGCTTTTTTTTCCAGTATCTCTTACTTCAGGTAGAATTTAACACCCAAGTTGTGCCATAATTACTATCACATGAATTGTGTTGATAAAGAGAAGTCTTAAATAATCTAGCTATGATTAGCTGTATTTATTGATTCTCAGAGATCAGTGCTAAAATAATAGAAAAATGTCAAGCAGATCAAGACATTGAGCATAGCTTTCTTCTTTCTCCTCTCATTCTCACAGTCACTTTACATCATATTTTTCACAGATTTTGGGCACAGATGGCTGAAACCTAGTTGAGGCTGCACTCAAATCTCACTGTCCATGTCACTGACAAAGAGGTTAAGAAGTGTCAGTCCCAATAGTCCCAAAGTGTCAGGTGTTGACCTGATGCCACTCATCACTGGTCTCCACCTGGACATTGAGTCATGAATGCAACCATCCAGCCAATTCCTTATCCAATGAAGTGGGCCATCAGTCAAATCCATGTCTCTCCAGTTTAGAGACACCTCCAGGGATGGTGACTCCACTGCTTCCCTCAGCAGCCTGTTCCAAAATGTGGGACACCTGCTGAAGGAGGTGGGTGGTTTAGGAGAGCAGACACACACAGCTGAGGCACTCAAAGGGACCTCAGAGGTGATACAGTTTCTGCTAAAAACAGGGTCAATTAAGAGGCCACATGTGGTACCTCAAGGCAGTTGGGTTTGGAAAACCTCCCAGCACAGACTGAACAACCCCTGCTGTGCCTTCCCATCAGCAAGGTCTCCCAGACTCTGTGTAGGGACAGGGCTCAAGGAGAAGCAGGAACAGCAGCAGGTAAGGTCCGAGTCACCAGTCACTTGGGAGGACTCTGGGTTCCTTCCAGCCTGATTTATTTTATGACTGTACCCCCAAAACAAGGGGCAGAAAACTCACACAATTGTATCAAGTGACTAGAATTGACACTATAAACCCAACAGGTTTTTTAACCAGCAAGGCAGGCCTGAAAAGCACAAGTTATTTATCTTCTCGAAGCTTATTTGCTTTTAGAAAATTATTTTTGTATCGCTGCACTCTCAAATTCTGGTGGTCTTAGTAACAGCAATGGTTTAATAGTAAATAAATGTAGTATTTTAATAATGCTGCAGTGCTGAAACATTTGCAAAACCAAGTAAAATGGTGTGTAAAATGAGCTCTATTTTAAATGCTAAAAATGATGTCATTGACATCTTAACTGTGAGCAGTAAATATAAACTGACACACCTTAGAAAAAATTAATTTGAAATTTTGGTTTATTTTATTGCTTAAATATAGATTGCACAGTGTGTTCTTACATTTATTGAAACTGGTTCATTACATACAGTACAGAATATATGACCATCAGAACAACAGACAAATTAGCCCTACTGTGATTTTGGACAACAGGCTATTTCTATCTTTTGAAGTTACCACAGATTTAATTTACCTTAAAGTGACCCACTACAAAAGCTATATTTTTTTCAAAATGACATAATGGGAAAGAGAACCCAAAGCACTGGAATACACTTAAACAGCTGGGTACCAATTCATAACCATTATGACAGTGCACAAAATGTTGCAGATAAAACAGGACCAGTTTGCATAAGGAGCTTTTAAAGCTCTGCAACTTGTCTGAAGAACATAAAGAGAGAAGTGAAACATAGCAGCTTCATACTGTACAACAAACAGCATTCTTAATTCTTTTGGTTTCGTTCATTAGCTACCTATAACAATAGCTACCAAAACAATACATTTTACAGTCTCTCCCATCTCCCATAGGTCTAGAAAGGCCAAAGTGAACCAATTACCAACTTACAGACTCCCTGAATTTCCAGAAAGGAAGAAATTAAATATCACGTGAACACGCAGAGTGTTACAAGCTCTTCGTTCCCTGCACAAAACCTGCATTTACCAAACAAAGCTCATTTGAACACTGGAAACATGGAAACCTGCCATTAGCATAAATGAAAAATACTTCATAAAAAGAACAGAAAATGAAATGCTGAATCTAGTTATTTTCACATGCGGCATTCATGCAATAGAATTCAATCACAGAAACAATCCTGTATTTACAGCATAGTCTTCATACTGCACAAGTGCAAACAGAAGTACATTCTTTATTACTTAGACTCCTTATTTTCTTTTTGTACAAAAGTGCCAAGTGATATTCTTAAAAAATTACAGCGTGGAGAAATGTTTTACATTGTATCCCTAGGTTAGATTTACTGTTTAAAAAATTACACTTTTTATATAGGCCAAAAAGCTATTAGTCTTACCTTAAAAAAAAAATAAAAAAAAATGAAAACTAAAGGCTAGAGTCCTATTTATGTGTAGACTGTGGTCTGATCAGGCTGATACGCTGCAGCAGTAAAAATCGCAACGGAATGCTGTAGATAAGGGGCTGTTTCGTCATCCACTAACAGCTGTGATTGCACTGTTAAACTGAAAAGAAGGTCTCAATTACCTTTTGAGCTTTGTGAATGCCTTCTGAAAGTCTCAGCATGTCATCTCATAGGTTTAAGTAGCTGATATTTGTCTGATGTTATGTCACATCAGGCTTTTAAAAGTAGTTCAGCAGAATGCTGAACTACAGTTCAAAAAACTTAAAATCCTTCTTACAGTGGGTTTGCAAGTGCTTCAAACAGTCAGCAAATTAGCTGGGCTGATAACCCTTCAGATGGTAGAGTTATGCAATCAAAGATTAATTTAGGTTGGGACTTCTGAAAGTCATCTAAACCAAGCTCCTGCTCAAAGCAGGGCTAACTGAAGTTAGGTCACTTTGTTCACAGCCTGATCATTGTTCATGCAAACCACTGGCTAAATTAAATGTCTACATTTATTACAGATTTTTGAGAGCATTCATTCATGTTTGTGCTGCTTCAGTCAGATTCAGAGAGATTAAGGGACTTCAAACTTAATATGCATGGCATCAATGAATGCTGTTTTTCTTTTTTGCCTGCAGAATTTAGTGAGTCATAAAGACAGTCTTGGCAATTATCATCAAATGTCAGTGATTTCCTGTAAAACTTTTACTTTATTTACATTTAATAGTATGCTCAGATACATAAACCTATGAAAGTTACCTTAAAGTTTTGAGAAATGAAACAAAAACAAACACAGAGATGCATCTCTAAAAATGCTTTTGCTTGAAAATATATGTAATAAATTCTTGATCTTTAAATGGTTTCATTTAGTTTTCTTTCAATTTCTAAAATATCACTAAAAAGCTGTAATAAACTACAGAGAAATGCCTCATAGAATATATTTATAATTTCATTAATTATTATTTAAAATGCCCTCAGTTTATTTTCTGCTATACTAAATATATCTCTTGTGTATTTATACTAAAGCAGACATTAAAATACTACTATGTTTTCAAAAGTACAGTCTGTAAACCATACACCTTAAGACACGAAAAATATTGCACAATTTCTTGCTTTGAGAGGAGATTTCTCCTCTCTTATGCAAAGCATTAAACTTTTAGCAAGAAACACAGGACATATACTGGGCATATCTACCTAAAAAGCATGTTATGTGATGCATCCAAAAAATACTTAACAAGTGTCCATTAATTCATTCACTGTACTTGAACACATGTAAGGTATTGTTTTTTTTCCATATATTTCAAACCAAACAAGTTGAGTAGCTATGACAGTATGAACAAAAGGGAGCTACAGTAGTGCTCCACTGGTTACATTTAATGAGATGAAGCAAGGCAAAAGCATTCTAGTTAGACATAGAATTGAGGTGGAGATGAGAAAAAAACCCAACCAACCAAAAAAAAAGGGGAAAAAAAAAGATTTAACAGGTTCTTCAGTTACAGTATCTCCAATTAAAGGAATTTGCAGCAACACAAATTCCTAGAGTAACTGAAATATTCACCTGTATGGCAAGACAAGTTTTATATCTGACTTTTACATGTACTCAAATATGAAAATGAAACAACATGATCTATGAAAAACCTAACTTACAATATATTACAGAAAAAAACAATTCAAGACAGTTTCATGAATTTGGCTAAAGTAATCTGTATTTGGCTCATGTCCATCATTATATTACTTAGTTTAGATACAGTAAACAATAAAATTTGAAAACTCATCTTGTTCTTTCTATTGTACTCTATTCTAAATAATGTCCAGCAGACTTCAGAAGACACTTAATACACACAAAGATCTGGAAACTTCATCTCATAGACTGGAACAGAATGGTAATGAGCATGTCCAGCAGTAATGGTCATCGTTCCTGAGGGGCTAGGCGGAGGACTGTGTGAGAAGCACAATCAATATATGTAATTTATAATTATATGAATTGCTTTGTTATAATTTTACACACTAATTCCTCAGAAACAAGAGTAAACTATCCCCCCACCCCCAACCAACAGTATTTTATCCTCCTCCTGAAATTCTAATGAAATTACCATGCCCCAGGGATTTTTGTATTCTCGTCTATATCATCAATTTCACTGATGTTACAAAACTACCCAAATGCATTTTATTGCTAATAAATACTATTTATTCTGAACAATGGATGTGCACAGCTCTGTAATAATGCCATGTACTATTTTGGGTTGTATCTAATTACATTCTCAAACAGATGCAGCAATGGGAAAACAACAGCATTCTGCAACACTACTGATAGACACAGAAATACTGTAAGACTGTGAGACACTGTGACATGGTTTCTGGAGAGTCTTCACTATCAAAAAGATTCAAAATAGGAAGAAAATCAAAGTGATGAAGAGTACTCTTTTTCGGTGTACTGTTTTTGGCTGGGACTGAGAATTCTTTTTACATTAGCTGGTCTGGGACTGTGTTTTAGACTTGTGCTGGGAACAGTGTTGATAACACAGGGATGTTTGTGTTATTGCTGAGCAGAGCTTACACAGAATCAAGGCCTTTTTTGCTGCTCACGCTGCTGTGCCAGTGTGAGGGCTGGAAGTGGGCAAGGAGTTGGGAGGAGACACAGATGGGACAGATGACCCCAACTGACCCATGGGATATCCCAGACCATGTGGTGTCATGCTCACCAATAAGAGCTTTAAGGAAAGAAGTAGGATAGGAAGGACATTCAGGCATTTGTCTTCCCAACAAGCCCTGATTTCCTGGAGATGGCTAAATACCTGCCCACCCATGGGAAGTGAACGAATTTCTTATTTTGCTTTGCTGGCATGTGGGACTTTTGCTTTACCTATTAAGCTGTTCTTATCTCAACCCATGCTTTTTCCCACTTTTATCCTTCCAATTCTCTTTCTCATCCTACTGAGCCAGTGGTTATATGAGGCTGAAACGCCTACCAGGGTTCAACCACAGCACACAGTTAAGCCCATTATTTTCTCCCTATTACATGTGTTTATGAACACTATGACATAACCAACTGAAAGTAGCCACAATTGTTTTATAACTCATTTTTCACTCATGACACTCTTCCTGCATAAAGCCTTACCGAATGGTGAGTTCCAGTATCTGTGCAAGTCTGTCATGAAGCAAGTTTGCCTAGGGAAGAAAAATTAAAATTGAATTATTACTCCTATATATTGAACTGAGCTCCGATGAATGTGCCAGGCCATACTCAGTGTGTTCTGCATTGCCACATGCAAATCTAGGCAGCAATTCCTGTCCCATTTTCTCACTGCTGAAAGGATTCTGAGCCTTGAAGATGCATTTGAGATTGAGTGAGCCTGTCCTGGAGTGCCAGGAATTATATAGCAAATTCTGCTGTTGCAGACAGGAGTTTAGCAAACCTGAAATACATTTAGTTGTTCAAAATATATAGTGGGGTAAATACTGCTCCAGTTATCCCAGAATGAAATAGGAATGGACTGTGAATGTGGATTTCAAAGATAGCAAGGAAAGCATTAGGGTGAAGAATATAAGAGATATCCATTCCTTTCCAAATGGTCTAGGAACAACCAAAAGCATGCTTTAAGTTACTGGAATCTCCCAACATTGACAACAGTGGAGACAAAACAAAGAACTGAACTTCTTCTTTACAAGTAACAGCAGCAGTGACACAACATAAATCACCTGCAGCCAGCACATCCCCATTAATGCCTACATCAATTTCTTCAGTGCTGTATAACATTTTCCAGAAACTCACTTTGGTTTCACACTGGGCTGCGATTTCTTCAAATGGCGCTTTTTGGAACTTTTCAATCACAAGACGCCTTTTCTCCTTTTCCTGTTCTTCAAGTCCATTGTTATCTTAAAAGAATAATAAAAAAATAGAGACAATTGCAATCTTTGCCTATCAAGTATAAGTGATATAAACGTTCATATGTGCACTGCAGAAAAAGCACTGTGCTTGAAGTGATGCACCCATTCTCAAGTAAGGTGTCATCTGGCATTGCCTCTAGTGAAATGCAGATAAAATTTCAGGGAGCTGGTTTGAGGACCCAGTTTTGCCCCTTTCTTACTAAGTGCTTTAATTATGAGTACATCTAGACTCCCTTTTGCTTTATTGCCTGGACTCAGGCCTGCACTTGGGTGCACGCTGGTTCAGACTCAGAAGAAGGAAGCATCCTGCCTCCCAGTATCATGCTGACAGGTGGCCAGAATTTTCTATTAGAATTTGGGAAAAGTGAGTTCAACCTCCATAGACTGAGTGAACTTACAAGCAGCTGGAACTTTCCAGCATCTAATGAATTTAAGTACCTTGTGGAATTAGGCACATTTGGAAGACTGACAGATTAAATTATTGTTTAAAATATCAGTGTCTATTGTTTAACACACCAATGTTTAATCTATATTTTGAACAGGATTTTAGTGGACTAGACAGCATTAATTAGTAATTACTTATAGTAATATGAAATAAGGAATTCGAGTAATTCTGTGTTCTTGTAGCTGGGTCACTTGTTACAGAAATGTTCTTTTAAAAAATCTGAGTGTTTTTGAAGTCCACAATGTGCACCTTACAATCTGTTTTCTGAATGCACTGAAGAACTTAAAATCTTAATACATAAAAAATACTTAAGTTGCTTTATAAATAATCATCCAATATAGCTTGCAAATCTCATGTTATTTATGGCTTCGCCTGTAAGGCAAATTTAACAGATGACAGGCATTTCCAGATGCTTTTCATTCAGTCCCATTAACTTCAGAAAATGAATTCACTAACATTATCAAAGTATCATTTCAGAAATTTAGAAATAAATAACTGAAGTTTTAAACAAATTTACTAGCTGAAGAGAAACAAATGTAATGTTTTCATTATGTTATTCTGGCCATTCCTTTTTTTCTAGCAATTCCATAGTAATTGAGAACTATTCTGCATAAACACAACTGTAATAAATCTTACCAATGGCTTTCTTCAAAGCTTCAAAGGTGATTTCTTCAGTATTATCAATCTAAACACAAAGAAACAAACCCCTTAATCATCACATATAACATATAAGCTTCAAAAAAATAAGGAATGTGAAAAATACAGAAGGCCAAAGCGGCCAGGGCTTTTCTGCCTTACAAGTCTCTAATAGCTTTATCTGGAGTTTCTGTGACAGATAACAGAACACTAATTCACATTTTTAAAGCCACTGCAAATAGTGGGGAAATTTTTATCAAATGAGGTGAAGGAAAACTTTGCAAATTCTAGTCAAGATGCTCTATAGCAACTATACTTTGGAAAAGGACTTGAATTTTGGCAGAACACTCCTTTGGGTCAGGAATAGGCTGTAGTGTTTCTATACTGTACAGTCGTAGTATTGGGTTCTTAAACAACTGATGTGAATAACAGCAACTGGTTCCTGAGACTTGTTGAGTTACCAGCAATGTGATGCTAAAATAAGAGATGGCAGTAGACTGGAGAGTGGAAAATGGTTATTGCTTTAGTCTAACTTTGTACCAGTCTGGGCTCCAAATAATTTGGTGCTTATGTCATAAACACGGGAGTTAAAGGGCTCTTCATAACAAGCTATGTTTGATGCACTGAGAAAATCTGTTCATCTAGTGATATGAATATCCATTTGCTGCAGATGTACTTCATTAGGAACAGCTTGGGGCTGCAAAATTACCAAAGACGCACGAATATTTCTCTGAAGAGCTCCAGCTCATGGATCTTCGTGTTTCAATTCATTACAGACCTGAAGTTTCTGTAGAGTTTCTATACCAGTAAATATATTTACAGTGAAACCACTGTGATGATATTAGGGGAGAATGCTTAGATGGCAGAACAGTGTTCACCTGAATATAACATGGTTCCTTGGCTTGAACCCCCTCACTTCAGCCCTTCAAACATGTAAACAGGCAGCACTTTTATTTTTCCTTATAAACGCTAATTGTTTAGAATGGTCTAATATAGTTTAAGATAAGAGATCTGTAAGGTAGCAAAAAGTTACTTCATCCAATTCAGAAGACTCTGAATTCTTTCAATATTTTAATTCATTGGCTTGAGCTATTGTAGAGGGAAAAGCCAGCAGAAATAGCTGTTTCCTTTTTACTTAAGTGTTATTTCAGGAGATGGAGCTGTAAATGATACTTTTCTATCATTTTACTACATTAGCATTGTATTCTCTACCTCTGAATATATAAAAGAATAATTAATAAACAGTGAAATACCCTTTGTGTCAAATATTTGTGGATATGGCTAGAGATCAAAGGTATTCAGGTTCTGAAATAATCACCTTTTATACAATTCACATTTGGTGAATTAATCATTAATTCTAAAATTTCCATTAAGTAACTAGGTAATCCCCTCAATCATAAAGCTTTATGCTCCTTTTTTTCTGCAGTTCAGTTCTGCTGACAGTTAAGGATTGTTATACTTACTAATCTACAAAGCAAGAGAACCAGATTTCATATATAGCTACGAAGGTGCAATCAGTAAATTGGAAAATATTGGTTCTTCCTTTGCTTTGTAAACAAACATCATAAGTAAGGGAGAAATACTTTGCTTCCTGTGTTTCTGATTAATAAAATTCTTCTTTTTAAAAGGTAAAACAGTAATTCATTATCCAAGGCACTGGACCACATTAAGACCATATTAAACTGAGAACCCATAAAAAGGTTTTGATTTATCTACAACCACTACAACCACTTCAAAAAATGTCTATATATCAATGCTTGATATAATATCAGCATAATAACTTGAAATCTGAAGTGGAAACTTCATTCATTTAATTCTACTTTCAAGAGAGTTGTTCAATCATATATAACCACATATAATACACAATCTTAAAAGGAATACTAATGTCAAACACCCCCAATCCTACGAGGACCATTCACTTTCTTCAGAAAGCTAGAGATCTGATTGTCTCCCTTATTTTTCAAATATTTTTTTTCTTCTTTCTCCTGAACTTTTCTCTGTATCTTGCTAAAGCACAAAACTGAACACATAATATCATCTGAGGTACCATCAGCACAAAGTAGAAATAAATAATAATAATAATCATGCAAAATATAGATCACTTCTGTCTAAAATGAAGCTTGCTCCTTTGCAATAGCACTCAGCTTGACTAAGTCCACATATTCTGCCTCATGTCTTTAGGCAGTTTGTGCTTGAATATGCCAAAGGTAAGAATCATCTGTACTTCATCTGAGGTACAAACACCTCAATTTCAACAGCTAATCTCCACTGCAGCCAGCAGAAATCTGGTTAATAAAAATAAGCAGAACTCTGAAAAAGATTCAGTAGAAATTTATTTTAAGAAATACTTCAAATGAAGTGTCAAAAGATGTGCGATAATTTTAATTATAAGGCAGTCTTCCTAAGGGATAATTAGCATCAGCTCCTGTACCCTCCATATGAACTTTTTGTTGCTACTTTATCCTTTCTGTGAGTTTAAAGTGCTGTGTGCTAAACTCTGCTGGAAGGGAACAGTGATACTGTAACACCATGGTGCACAAAGCCTGACTGATCTTCACCTGTCCCTCTCAGAGACGGCAGGTCAACCACTAGTCTTGCATCTCTCTGGTTTTACATCTCTCAGCCCCATGTTGATGAACAAGTTTCTCAAATACTTCAAATGATGAACGGATACAGGAATTTACTGGTTGCCTCAAAAGGCAGATAAAACATTTCAGAATATTTACTCATAAAACATCAGTTGTTCAGTGTGTATATGTATTGCTACCCAATATTCTGCAGCACTATCTGTAAAAAACTACAGTGATAAAATACTTAACATTTTTATACAGCAAGACCAGCACCAGTGTCTTTGACAACACATTTCTGCAAAGACAACTTAAAAAAATCAACCCCTTGAAGTATTTACAATGCTAGAATAATCAGATATTAGACTTTCTGGAAAAACTTCACTTGCATTCCCCCACTCCCTCCAAGATGCTGCTTTAAAATATTCTGGGATTTTCATACCTTATCCTCTGTGTTGTTGCCAGGCAGAATATCCACCTGAAGAGACACCGTGTCCACAATGCTTTTTCTCCTGGAGAGTCTGTCCTCATCTAGCAGAAAAACAACTTCTCTCACTTTTTGTGTAACACTTGAAACATGATCAATCAAATTTCTACCCATGAGATGCAAATTTGTTTCCATATGCCTATTTTACCCATGATCATCTATTTTATCATTTGAATAGTTGTGAAAAAATGATCAGTTACGGCTTTAAATTACTAAATATGAAAGAAAATAACGTTTTTATTGTCTCTTTCCCACCCCAGATCTTGCCAACTTTCCCTTTAAAGCCCAGAATTTTAAAAAATGAGATGAGCTCTTATTCAAATGCATAATAAGTAACACAGCACATGATGATATATAGCTGCAGAGTTCTTTACAAAAGCCTGAACTTATTTTCTTGGTTGTGAAATTTAAATATTAAGGTCTTAATCTGAAGGTATTCTGAAACAGAAAAGGGCTTCCTGGAAGATGACTCATTAACAGAAGAAATAGATTTCTGAATGGAAATGAACAACAATCCTTCCTTATTCTTGTTGCTACAAGTACCATATTCATCAAGTCTAAAAATCTACTGGGTGAAAAAAATTCTCTCCATTTCACACTTCCTACAAAGATTTTAGCAGGTCCAGTTGGCCTAAAAAGTTGTCAGAATAAGACCAACTGTGCTGATACTAAAAGCAGCACAACAATTTCATTAATGCATAAGCAGATTATGATCGAACCATCCATCAGTTGATGGATTTTCCTTCTGTGACTCCATTCCTGAGGCAGTGCAGCAATAATATTTTCTCATTTTTAACATTTAGTATATTAACATGAGATTTTAATAAACAGTAAAAATGTATTTTAAGACATGTCATGAGAAGCCTTCAATAAAGAGAGACTCGAGAGGTCTGACTTTTGTGTATCTCATTTACAAAACCATGAATGTCACATTTTAAATTTTAGCCAAGATCAAGCCATTTGGACCTGGCTACTATTATTTGATGACTTGCACTGCACACAGTTAGAAGCACCTACAGGCACTTGAAACTAAGACTGAGAGAAGGATTTAAAATTCCCCCACCACAAGGTAATTTATGCTGGTTCTTCTACAAGCTTTGTTTAAGCCACTTCTAGCAAAGTGCTTTTGCTGTGCAAATATTGAGCATGAACAAACAGAATTCATTCCAGCAGAGCTGAACATCCCCAGCTTTTAAAAATCAGAAAAAACTTTCAGAAATCACATAAATGAAATGTCATTTTAAGATCAAGAGGCAGTGAAAGAACAAGATTAGTGGAAAACACCTGAATTCTAGCTATATTTGCCAGGTTCCCAGAGACCCTGAGCATTTGAAGTGGCATTCTGAAGGATTTACTTAATTTTTAGTCCCTGATGGCTCGCTGGTACATGACCCAATATATACAGAGTCTGAGGAAAGCACCTCAGCCCTCAAAAGAAAACACAAGACAAAACTACATCTCTGCTGCCATCTTGCTGCTCTCTCTGTAACTGACACACAAACACCACAAGATACATTTTTGGGGCTACTTTGGATAGAAATCATTTTTGTAATGGATGCTTCACTGTACTTGACTGAGAAAAATACCCATTTGTCTCTTATTTCAACATATTAAGTGACTAAAAAAATGGTGAAAGTTTCCATTTTTTCTGTTATATGATACAAAGCTCGTTTCCATACACACAAAGGAGCCCAGAGGCACCAGGACAGCCCCAACACCCACTGCCCCAGCCCCTGACAGGCCTGTCCCAGGAGCCTTGGCTCCATGGCCTGAGGAGTGGTACCCACACCATGGGGCAACAGGAGCTGCTCTCTGCATCCACCTCACTGGCTGATCACTTTTCACAAGGGCATGTAGGAATAGGACAAGGGGGAATGGCTTTGAACTAAAAGAGGGTAGATTTAGATTGGGTATTTGGAATAAATTCTTTACTGTGACAGTGGTGAGGCACTGGAACAGGCTGCCCAAAGGAACTGGGGCTGCCCCGTCTCTGGAATTGTTCAAGGCCAGGTTGGATGGGGCTTTGAGCAACCTGGTCTAGTGGAAGGTGTCCCTGCCCACGGCAGGGGGGTTTGGAATTAGATGATCTTTAAAGTGCCTCTTTTCCTGGGTGAGGAACTCTATTCTTTGTGCAGTTATGTGCATGGGGCTCTGAGCACAGTAACTGGAGTCAGACCACAGGTCAGAGGCCTGGTGGGTCTGGAGCAAGCCAAGGTGCACAGCATGATGATTCCCACGTGAGCATGAGGGAACATCAAGCCGGACCAGCAGGAAAATAGGCCAAGTGGTCTGGGAGCGAGGGGTGACCGCGTATGTCTGGCTCTGTGTGTTCCTGAGGGGCAGGCCCCTGGAGAGACCAGGAGGCCCAGGTCAGCTGTCAGGAAGACCATGGAGCCTGAGGGGTTGACTGGGATCCATGGACATGCACGTGGGCATCACAGTGTGCAAGGGGGATCTGTACCAGCAGCTGGACTGGGGCTGTGGCACTTGAAGGACTCACATGCTCAGGTGCCAGTGACTGGGGAGACTGGGAACCAGGAGACAGCTGGCAGGAAGACAGTGTCTAAGCCCAGTCCTGGTGGGATGCACACAGCTACTGAGATGCAGACAGAACATATGCACGTACACATGTTCTGCTAACGGACCTTTATCCTGAACAGCCAGTGAATAAGATAACTCTTCATTCTTTGAACAACTGAGAGCTTCTTCCAACTTTCTACAAGTTCTTGCAATGTCACTCAAAGAGGTAATTAGTACCATCACAAAAATGATACCTCTAGCCCTACTACCTGCTCAGGAAAAGAAAATAGGAAGCTACTACCATTGTAGAGTTTCAAATCAAGAGTTAACACAAAGGTAAACCTCACAGCAGCTAACAGTGCTACAGGTATTTTGTGCATCAAGGAGATGAACAAAAAGAAGCATATGAAAACACTAAGTACACCAAGTACAACACAATTTCTGGCCTAAAGATCTAAAGGCCTTCTAAAAGCATTTTTTGACAGTGTACATTCTATAGAGACACCACAGGCAGCAGGAGAGCAGGCTGACCTACAACTCATTTTTACCTTTTGACTTGTGTTTGCATTTATGAGGTTTTTTGCCTGATGGAAATAGAGCTGAATTAAAAAAATATATATGTACTGACAAAAAAAATTATTAAAAGTACATTTAAATTATCAGTTTTCTCCCTCCCCCAAGAAAGGAAGAGAAAAAGGCAGATAAAAAAACCTGCAGATATGAATGTCTTTCAAACTGACAAGAAATATCAAAACATGAAACAAAGACAGGATGACAAAATTATGTCTACAAGCCATTGTTAAGCATTGTGTCACTGATATTTGGAAATACCAGAAATAATCACGATGAAATATTTACTGGCTTTTTGGGTTCAACCCTAGATTTCACAGGAATATAGAAAAATGGATTAATTTTTTACTAAGATTAATGATTTCTTTTGAAACACTACATTCTAGCATTATAATATTAATAGCAGAAATTAAACATTTCATTGCATTAAAAAATTAAAAGCTTAGGAATTCCAAAATATCCATTTGTTCCTGATTTAGTTAAAAGAAAACCTTGGAAGCTCAATATTCCACAGGATTAGAGATTAATGTATTTACTAGCTATGGCAACAGACAAGGAGCGAGTTTTGGTTGCTGTTCTTTACAAAAAAATTACAAAAAACCCCAAACCCATCTGACTCACATATACTAAGATTTAGGATTAAATATGGCAATTTCTCATCACGTGCAGAGGCAGTTAATCACATACTTGCAGGTAAACTCAATCTTGCTATCAGAACTTTCATGTCCTCCTATGTAGGAATGCATTTTCAGCAAAGTATCCAAGAAAACCCTAACAAGGTCATTTGGGCACAAATACACCTTGGTTTCTAGAAGAGGCTTAACATAAATTTCAAACCAATCTATCTTTCTCATTCCACTCTCATTTACTCAAAGTCAGTAATGTTTCCTTACTTGCTGGCTACCTCCCCTGCCAGTACTAAAATATAAAGTTAATTGTTTTTCTGGATGCCAGAAGAAGAAATCTGTGAAGATAGGAACATTATCCTTTCTAGAAGACAACCAGCAACAGAAAACACAGACATTGTAGCTGTGTCAGAACATATCACTAGTGTGCCTGCTAGCATCTGGGACAAATCCACACGTGCTGTTTGCAGAACTCAATTCCTCCCATAGCAGCTATCCAAAAAAGACACTCAAGAGCAGGCAGCAATGTCTCTGAATCAGACTGCAAGAATGACAGATCTGGCATTCACTGTCCCTATGTACTATGATTCTTCCTATGTGTGAGCTACAGAACAGAGAAGTCACATTTTTCTGCTTTAAAAAGGTCCATGCTTCAGGCTGGGGTGTCCCACAGTCTGTTTACAATAGCAACTGGTTACATGGAGCCACAAAACACACATTGTTAAGAAAAAAAAACATTTTTTGAGTAAGTTGCTCAATTGGCAAAAGCACATAAGCCAAAAGCACATAATGTCACATACTTGCTAGTCCTCCACACACCATTCACGCAGCCTGCCTAGCTGGAACTCCCAGAAACCTTCCTCAGGCATTTCTACTGTTACCTGACACTAAGCTTGCATAGGTATCTAATGGAGAAAAACATCCCATTCTTGACTAAATTAGCATCTGCTCATTTAGAATTTATCTAAGGCAAATAACTCAGCACAAGACCATATGGCAAAAGCATGGAATATTTTTCATTTAGTGTTTACATAAAAAAAATAAAGTATGCTGGCTTGTATGTTCTCAAACTAACACAGGTAGTCTTTTGAAAGCAAAGACTTCATTAAAAAGAGTCAAAGTGGGTTCAAGGCCTTTCTGCCCCTCTTCCTTTCTTTAAGGAAAAAAAACAACCTTAAAAGGACAAATAGTTGAAACTTTTTACAGTTTCATAGAGTAGCTAATGAGAAAAAAACACCCCATCCTGAGAAGACAAAATGATCTGATTAGGTTTTGTTGCCAAGCAGCCACATTACATTTCATAGGCACACAACACATTAAGAAAGTGTTCTTAATAACTGGTACTTTGTGGTGTTGCTACTAATCAGCACTTACCTGTTACCTGGGGTACATATGGAACTGACAATCTTTCCACACTGTATCCACTGCCTCCTAATGATTCTGCAATCTGGTTCGTCAGGAAAAATAAGTCTTTTTCATGCTTCTCTAAGGATTTTGGAAGACTGTCAAAATATATATTTGAAATTATTGTCTACACATAGGTATTTGTTGGTTACAGAAAATATTCCTCCAATGTCTGTGAGCAACCAATGGTAATGATTTGATGGAAATGAAGCTTGCTCAGTTTTTTAGGAATGAATATATACCCAAATCTAGTTTATTCAACACCTCTGCATTATTTTAAATTACCTTAACACTTACTGGCTATCCGAAATATGTTCCTCATCTATTCTGCTACATCTTGAGAGAAAATAGTCTTTGTTAAATAAAAAAAAACCTGCAGAGCAATAGTAATATTAATAGTAATTAATTAATAGCAACAGTAATATTTGCCATTTGCCAGCAGTGTGCCCTTGTGGCAAAAAAGACTGAGGTATCCTGGGCTGCATCCTGTATCCTGGCTGACAGGAGGAACATTGTCAGCAGGTTGAGGCAGGAGATTTTACCCCTCTACTCAGCTCTGGTAAGGCCACACTGGACTATTGAGTCAGGTGCTGCAGTTGCCAGGGAAGGTGAGCCTTTACTTTAGGGAGTCCAACAAAGGGCCACTAAGGTGGATTAAAGGACTGGAGCATCTCTCCAATGAAGAGAGAGAGAGTTGGAACAATTCAGCATGGAGAAAAGAAGGTGGATTTTATCAATGTGTACAACTACCTTAAGGGAGAGAGGGTGGAAAGGCTTGTCAGTGCTGCTCTGTGACAGAGCCAGAGGCAATTGCACAAACTGAAACACAGAAGGTTCTGGCTGAATATCAGGAAACAGTTCTTTACTGTGAGGGTGACCAAGCACTGGCACAGGTTATCCAGAGGGGTTGTGGAGTCTCCATCCTTGGAGATATTCCAAAGCCACCTGGATGTGGCCCTGCTTAAGCAGGGACCAGATGACCTCCAGAGATGCCTTCCAGCCTCATCCATTCTGTGATTCAGTGAAAATGCATTTGGTTGTGTTAGCACGCACACCAAGCATCATATTGTGAGGATGTAAGTGCCTCTGACTACAATAAAAAAGTCTGAAACCCACCTTTTTTTTCCCCATACATGCACATGCTTTCAATATTTGGGTTTCTTCTGCCTACCCTGTACACTACTAAACCCCTAAATTATTTTTCATATATGTAACATATTTCAGTGATGTCTGAATTTTAATAGTAAAAGAGGTACTTCACTGTCCACTAATGGACATTTTCTATCTCCTTACTTGCATTTGTCTTTGAAAATTGTTTCTGGGAGAAAATAAGATGCTTCCACACTTCTGGTTTCAATGACCTGAAAAAAACACAAGACAAACAATACAAATGGAGTAGTTCCATAGTTGTTTTCTCCAATAACTAACTCTCACTAACACATCTACCTCAGCACAAATGAGGCCTTTAGAATTTCTTTTAACCAGAGAAAGAGACTCTGGCACTCACCCTTTAGACTAAAAATCTGGTTCTCATGGTCTTGTACCTGTCAGTGCTTTTTCACCCAAGCCAGTGAGGCTGTAAAGTCTTATACCAGATGAGGATTTAGCCCATTATATATGGTACTATAAATAAAGTAAAAATGCTATACTTTGAGAGAAGATTATTCTGTTTATAATTTGAAGAGTCAGCAAGTAATGCCATCAGAGACTGAAGACCAAGAGCAATGTCGGTGGACACAAATATGGGAGAACAAGACCATAAGCCATTACTTGATACAAGTTATTTACCCATTTTACAGTAGAATGTGTAGTGCCATAAATGACTTATTTAATTATGTGTTACCTTGCTGACATGCTGACAAAAGGCAGGAACTGCAATCATCTGACTCAGAAAGTTTAGATAGGCTGCAACCAACGCCATGACACCACAACGATTAAACATTGGCAGATTATCCTCGTTGATGATGGCAATGTCCTGAAATACAAGGGATAGCATTATGCTTTCCAAAGTTAACAGGCTGTCTTGAATATATGGAAGTCAAATTTATTATTAGTAACACTACCAGACATATGATGACGATCTGCTACTACTTAGTATTTGATACCTCTCATCTTAAAATTCTAGTCTTTTAGCTCACTCCTGAACTACAAATATATTGATCTGAAGTTAAAAAGCTTAAAAATTCAACCATTATGAAGAGAAATAAATTTACTCAACTCAAAATTCTGTTTCTCAGAAAGGAAGTACTGGTTTATAACTGGTAATCTCTTGTACTTACCACCTCCTGATCAAAACATTTTTTCAGGAAAATTAGAAATAGCAGTTTAATCACAAAGATCACCTGTGTGAGTCACAGATACAGCACCATAAAGGGAATTATTTCATCCTTATTAGCATTTCTATGTTTATTCAGACTGCATTATTTTTGCTCTAGTAAAACTCCTAATGTTATTTTCATTAAGTAAGGATTTGGTTCAGTGACAAATTTTATAATTAAGGATGCGCACTGCATTTCAGAGGTTTCATAATACAGATGTACATTTGGGAATAAGATTAATGACAGAGAGAACTGGGAATACAGGGCCTGATTTCATCAAATTTCCAGGGCACATGTTAACACTCCTTTATTTTTTTTAATGCTTTGATTTAAACACAGACAAACTTAATAAGTTTGACAGTTTCCCTGAAGACTGTATGCAAGTATGAGATAATGTATGATTTTTTTAACAAAATGTTAAGGAATAAAGCCTATCAACACACTAACAGAATTTTACTCTAAGGTGAGATTAAATAGCTTGGTTTGACAAATATTCCCAACCAATCAATTATACAAAAGCTTTCATCCAAGGCAAGGACAGTTCATACCTTTTATACAGAACACTGATGCACAATGACATGTTGTAAGAACACCTTTTCAATCTGCTAACAAATATCAGTGATTCTAGGAAACATTTCAACAAATTTCCACATCTGCTACTTTTCCTGAACAGCACACGCTGTAGAAATTTGTTACAAAACTGATTAGCTGAAGCTTTCCCTATAATAAGTGGCATGTACAAAGTGTACTTCCTTAGTGGCTCAAACATGTTTGGACCAAATGATGAGATTTCCAATTTGAAGATCAATATACAAACAAAACAAGTTACTCACATATCCAATTACAAATATAAATTGTCAGTCAACAAACACACCACCAGCTCAGCCTCATACCTGCAAGGCAATAGCTAATCGAATGAGGTCAATAACCACTTCTTCATTGGCCAGTTCAATTGTGGTTAGAGCTAGAGATGTAAACAGGAGTTCAAAGTTTTTTTGGACATTGTCTTCTTCTTTGCAGCCTAAGTAAATGTGTCTGTACAACTGCTGACCATGCTATAAAAGACATAAAAGGGAAAATGATATTAAAATAATAGAATAGTTTAGATTAGAAAGGGTATTTAAAGGTCTTCTGGTCCAACTCTCTACTCCAAGCAGGGTCAACTTAGATTCCTCCTTTACATAAATGGAAAATTATTTTTTTTAATATTTCAACAGGAAATGAATGCCAACATCTGACCACAGTGCAGTATTCGTGCAATTCTCTGCATAAAATAGAACAGTACTGTGTTTATAAAGAAGCTGTTGTTAGAAACTAGTGGTAATATTGGTTAATCATACTTGTTTGTGTATGCATGTGTACACATGTATTTTATCCTTTTTTATTCTTTTAATTCTCTGTCTAATTTCATGCATACAAGAGTCTTCACCTAAGACATACATGGCAATTTTATTTAATGGAACCATCGTTAAAGTATCTAGAGCACCTCAACATTGAAATCACTGTAATTTGATTAAAATCATTTGGTACTGATCTTTGCAACTTCTTGCAAAAATACAACTGTAGAAGACAATCAAAATAACTGGTTCAGTTACTTTATTTCTAGATAAAAAAAGTGATCTTTCACTCTATTACCTTTTTCATGAAGCTCACATCCTGCCTTGAAATCTTGTCTCGTTTTATCTTTAGATCGGAAACATCTGGTATTATTCTACAAACGTAAGAAAAATATCATTTTAGCAAAAAAAAAGTTGGAAAGGAAGAGGATGTAAAATATAGGAACTATTCAAACAAATATTGATGCAATTTCCCTTTTAATTATATCCAGTCTTAACAATGGTATTCAAATTTCAGTTGAAGAGGGAGAACAATAAACAGAATTATGACAATCACATTTTTTTTTCGCTACATAAAATAACATATTCTGTCTTCCACAGCTAAACTAGCAGATATTTGAAATGGTTATTTAAGGTAGGAGCACTGAGGTTTACCTGTAAAATGCCTACCATCAATAAAAGACACTGTGCATTTACCAAAACAGTACATCAAAATTTCACGTTAGGAATAGTATTTAAAGATCAACAGTACTTATCATTCAGGTATTAAACTAGAATTTCAAGTAGGCCAAAGCAAACAAAAAGCAGTACCGTATCCCTCTGAGCTTCGCTCTGTTGTCGTGCCGATCAATGAGGTTATGCAGGATTTCCAGGACCAGCTGCCTTAGCTCAGAGTCCTCCATGAGTGAGGGAGACAGTAACGGGTCCAGGAATGGGGGAGGAAGTGCATTACTGATCGTTGTGGCTTTGTATCCTGAAGTCACCTGTTTGTTGGCGGAAGTTAAATTAATGTGTGTCGTTACTGCACCGTAAGAATTAACTGCATTTGTCACATACTTTTAGTGGGCTTGCTTTGGCATCTGAAAGGTGGATTCAAATTGAAGTATTGGATTAATTTTGAAAATTCCTGACCTCACTATGGATTTGGAAGGACTCCAACACACATTTTCAAATTAACTCTCTCATTTGTTAAAAGGATTGTCTCTCAGGATCCTTCCTTTACCAAGATAACCAGAAGAAAAAATAAAGGTATGAATTTTTTTTTACATGGCCTATGAAAAGTTGCAGGGCATAAAATGAAGATGGTAATAATTACAATAGAGATTTTTCCATTTCAGGTTATGAGCTGTTCAGTTCACATATGTTACTGAGTAAGCTCATGTGAATTAAAAAAGAGAAGTCAGAGTCTGTATGTACACCTTAAACATTTATTGATACTACTTTATTGCAAAACATAACGTAAGCAGCAAACACCACTTTCTTAGAAATCTGGTACCATAGTGGTTTTTTTTTCTTTTGTTAAACTAATATGACTTCTCACTTGCCTCTTTCAATTGCTTTTAATTAAAGCAAACTCTGTAGGTACATAAAGAAAAGTAAACTTCTACTGACAATTCAGATATTAATTAGTTGAACATTTACAGCAGTCAGATATGTTTAAAATTTAAAATGGAGGTTATCAGAATACTAGAATCTCAAAACTAAAACAGATTCAGAAACTGCAAAGTATAAGGTACTGAGCATGAGGGGAGAAAAATGATTCAAAATTTAATTACAATAAACACAGTAATATTTTTATCTCAGGTTTAGTTAATAATTGAATTGTTATTATACATATTCCATACCCTTTTACATGTGAACTGTGTTGTGCTGGTTTTGTCTGGGACAGTTAATTTTCTTCATAGTAGCACATATGCTGCTGTGTTCTGGATTTGTGACCAAAACAGTGCTGATAACATGGGGTTGATTTAGTTACTGCCGAGCAGAGCTTGCAGACTTCCAAAGGGATATCCCACACTAAAATGTGTCATCTCAGCAACAAAAGAGGTGGCAGTTTGCAAGGTCTGCCACTCCTCAGGGACTGGCCAGGTATCAGCTGGCTTGTGGTGAGCAACTGGGTTTTGGGTAAGGGTTTTGGTTTATTTTATTATTACTTGGTTTCGTTTCTCTTGGTTTCCTTCTTTTACTTACTAAACTGTTTTCATCTCAACCCACTTTTCTCACTGGTACCTTCTGATTCTCTCCCTCATCCCTCTGGGGAAGAGTGAGGGAGTGACTGGGTGGTCCCTGGTGCCTGCTGGGGTTAAACTACAACACGTGAACAAGCACTGTGCCTGCAGCATAACTGAAGGTGTTCAAAGAGAAGTGGCTGGCAGAGGAGCACAAGGGCACATGAAGGTATCTAACCAATCATTTTGAAAATGGAAAATGGCTAATATTACAAGCAGCAAGGCTGCAAATGTAAGTGTACACTTTTAATTAAGTGCCAGATTTCAACCGCCTATTAACATTAACTTGTCTGCCTGTGTGTATGCATGGGAACAGACTAATTATTTTATGAAATATTATTCTTTTGTAAAGAATACATGCTGTACAATGCTCACATTTTTTTCACAATATTTATCAATGTCTGAGTAATTCATTAAGCATCAGAACATTCACTTTCACACCTTTGTGCCATGATGGGATTTTACTCCCATATTCTAAAGAGAAGGCAAATTTAAATTCAGTGTCCAAAATGTTAAATTCCTCCCACATGCACAACCTGAATCCCTTAAAGTATACTTAGGCTATGCAGTGCTCAAAATCATGAGAACAATTCTTACTGACTTGGATGGAACTTTAAGACTGGTGAGATGAATATTGTCAGGAATAGCTTAGGCATACCTGAGTCTATCTTTACTGGAGACAATGTGCAAAATGACCACCTGAGGCCTTTTTTAACAAGTTTTCTATCTTAAATTGCAACTGTGAATGCTCAGGTCTTCTGCAAACCACAGTCTAGGATTTCAGATTTGGACAAGCAAAGAATGGTTTAAACAACTTGCCTAACACCACACACAAATTTCATGTCAAAGCAGGGATAGAAGCTCATTTTCCAGGAAAGTATTCTTCTGCTTTAGTTGTGAAATCATTCTTTATGCTGTATCCCCTACTTCAGTGACTAAACAGTTTTCAGCTTCTGCAACAAAACAGGCCAGGCTTCTACTGGCAAGAGTTTCCTTTACCACCCACTTTCTGATTCTTACCATCTGTGTCTATTTCCAGAAATACTCTTTAAAGGTTTACAGTTAAAAAATGTATTTGTGATAAAACATTCAGTCATACCTTACAAGAAACTTGGGAAATATTAGGAAGGAAAGAACAATTGTGTCTGAGGCTTTAAGGGCTTGGAGATAGGCATCCACTTCTGTGCTTTTAAAAATATTGTCCACTCTACTAATTACTGCTTTTCTGGGCTCAGAGACAAAAGTGATTTCACTTTGATATTGCCAGTATTGCTGGCAGAACTCAACCTACTCTATGATGTTCTTTTGGATCTGCAGATCCAATTATAACTGATATTCACTAATGTGCTCTAAGAGATGGAGGAGTATTTCTTGACCTGTTTGTAATCTAAGTTGGGAAAATGCTTTCACAATTTTACATAGTAGAATTCCAGATCTATGTAATAGGAATGTATGTTTAATTTCATAATCCAGAGTTGTTATACTGCACTTACGTGTGTAAAAATATAGATAAAGTGAGACATTATGTGTTTATAACATACTATACTGAGCACAAAAGGCTTACCATAAGTAAAGATCTCAGTAACATGATCTGAATCCTTCTAGTTCCCAAATCTCTGCAATTAGAAAAAAAAAGTTGCAAATTAGGTTTTTTTGCATATCTTCAAAATATTACCTAGACATCATCTAACAACTGCATTTCTACAAGTGAATACAGCAGTCTTGGAAGGGATGCTGGATGATCATAAATAAAGGGCAAATATCTCCAACTGAGGTGCAATAACTAAATGTTTTTGGAAGAGACATTTACAGAAAGGCTTAAAAAAAATGGAGCTCGTGTAACTGAAGAAAACAGTAAACTGTATACTGTAAAGCAGATCTAAAATTCATGTTTCATTTAGCAATCCCTTTGTATCTAAAACATTCAACCACTACAAGCTTGACTTTCTTTTCACAAGCAGCAGCACTCAGAATTTCTTCTGAATTAAAATGTAATTGAGTCTTCTTAAGAAACAAGGACACCTCTTATTTAAATCAGACCTCAGAACTCTGAGACTGGAAAAAAATTATTCGCAAAATCAGTAAGGAAAACTGAAAGATCCCTCAGTTTTGGTATCACAGGAGGGTACACAGAACACTACTTAAACTGTTCTTCATCTGTTTTCATTTTCCGTCTGCTGGTACTAAAAGAAGCCAAATAGCTAATGGTATGTAGTCACTACTCTTGCAAGATCTTACGAGATAAAAGTGCACTTGGAATAAATTGCTCCATTCAAAGAGACTCTCTCAGGACAGTAAAAAAGGTACAAACCACTTTGTGCATCAGTAGCATAAAGAAAGAGCAAAACTATTCACAGGAGTTGGCCCCTGCATAACAGTGGAAACTTTCACCTACAGGGGCTGTAATCCTGGCTATTGTATCATTCAAATGTTCTGGGTAGCAGAGACGAAAATTTCATGCAATGCAAGACTGTATCAGCAGTCACAATGCCTGCTTTATTCAGAATGACACATACACATCATACTAACACACTCAGGCACATGTTTACACAGAACCCCATAAAAAGAAAATTGTGAAGTTAAAAAACACACCCCCCCAACTGTTAATCCAAGCACAGAATTTTACATGGATTTGTTCTTCAAATACCTTCTTAATGAGCGATAACTGCCTGGCACAGACAGATTTCTATCTTCCATGGAATATCATCCCATGCCACAGGGGCACAATACTGTACGAAAAGCTACCAAGAAGCCAGGAGAATGACAATGACTTCCTACTTAATCTAGCAGGGGACCAGTTATGTGGTGCAAAGTGTCCATGCACATCTGGAAAGAACAGCTGCAGCCTCTTCAGTGACTTTCCCCATACTGAGGAAGCACAGTCTTTTCAACATAATTATTCACGTTACAGGGAAAAAATTACTTCAGTGTATGCCAACTTTTTAAATATGGATTTATTACAGAAATCTGACCACCTATAGTTTTTTCCTATTTCTAAATAAATAGGGAAAATTTAAAACAAATTCACTGGAATTTCTACAGTTTATTTCTTAAGCTGAAGTCAGCTTGAACAGAATGTATTAAAAACAAAAAAATTTGAAAATTATACAGCTATTTGCAAAAAGGTAGACATAGTTTAATTTCCCTCATTCCCAAAACACACATGTAAGAACTTATGGAATTAACCAGCATTCACTGGATAATTCTGAAAACATTTGTACAGATACAGAGAGAAGAAATGTTTTAGTGCAAAATAATCTTGATTCCAATCAGGTATTTTCTATCAGTATCAAGTCTGTAGGCTGATTTCATATTGCTGACACTGCGCTTGTCTTGGTTCTGCATAGTATTTAATACAGCCCCTAAGGAGTAAGGATTTGCATTTCACTTTTCTTAATGTTTTTCGCTTCATACTTTATCAAGAATCTAATTAAAAATGTAGGATATACAAACCCAAGGTGGCTGGTATCCAGTGATTGTGAAGTCCCCAAAACAGGTACTTTGCCCATAATGAACATCATAATCTCTGATCTCTGGTAATCTGGGAGATTGCTTCCAAAAAATCCTAAATAAAAATAGAATGAAATCACAGAAGAAAAGATAAATAGGGCCCTTCTCTTTATAAGGAAAGCCTTATAAATACAAGGAATATATTAACAAGGTCAAAATAGATGAGAATAAAATTATGATTTGTTTTAGGCCATAATCTCACATGTTCATTTCTGCTGAATGCCTTTACAGAGTCTTTTTGTGACATTTGCTTCCAACTCTGAATCCTAAAGCTTTCTAATTTTATCCTCCTCTAAATATACCATTTTAAAATTACATGCGTGGCATCTGTTAATTTGTAACTAGTGAGGAGCTGGAAGTGTTCCTCACGGTACACAGCGCTGTTACTTTTGTCTGTGAAGTCTCCATTAAGTGTTACAAGTGAGGGGACAGAAAGCCCAGACATACAAGTGATATATGACTATTGCTGTACTGAGGGACTGACGATGCAAGCAGCTCCTGATGGGAAGCGGAGCGCTCCAGGGAGGTCCACAAGGTGCACAGGGGGCTTTTCCTGAACCAAAGGAACCCAGGGGAGCAGAAAGACCCACCTGGAGCCCACAGCCTGCGCCACAATGGCTGAAGGGGCCTGTGCAGGGCCAGGAGAAACACCAGGCACACACCCCCTCCCCAGCCTTAAAAGAATCCCTTAGGGGGTGCTAGCAACAGTTGACACACAAGGAGGGTGCTGTAGCTCTTCCAGCTCGACCAGGGAGAACTAGTTTCTACCCACAGAAGGTCCTGGCCTCTCTAAGACCTGCACCCCCCAATGGCAAGTTAAGTCTGAGTCAGCAGGGTGCCCTGGCAGCTAGGAGGGCCAACCATATCCTGGGGGGCATCAGGCACAGCATCGCCAGCCGGTCAAGGAAGGTGACTGTCCCGCTCTGCTCTGCACTGGGGTGGCCCCACCTCCAGTCCATAGTTGTGGGCACCTCAATATAAGAATATCAAACTATTAAGAGGCTGTTCAGAGAAGGACAACCAAGATGGTGAAGGGTGTTGAGGGCAAGACTTATGAGGAGAAGCTGAGATGACTTGGCTTGTTCAGCTTGGAGAAGAGAAGGTTGGGAGGCACCCTCATCACAGTCTACACCTTCCTTGAGGGGGGCAGCAGAAGGGCAGGTGCTGATCTCCTCTCTCTGGTGACCAGTGATAGGACATAAGGAAATGGAATGAAGCTTCATCAGGGGAAGCTCAGATGGGAAAAGGTTCCTTACTGAATGGGTGGCTGGTCACTAGAACAGGCTCCCCAGGGAAGTGGTCACAGCACCAAGCGTGACAGAGCTCAAGGAGCATCTGGACAATGCTCTTAGTTGCATGGTTTAGTTGTAAGAAGTCCTGTGAGGAGCAGGGAGTTGGAATCGATGACCGACAGAAAGAAGCTTTACTTTAAAAAGTTGGGTTGTGGGGTTTCCAGCATTTTTTTTGGGGGGGGAGGTTAATATTTTAAATTGGAGTTTTACTGCAGTGATGAGAAATAATCTATTACATACTTGCTACTGCTCTAAAAAGCTTCAAGGTACAGATTAGTAAACAACATTTAAGTAACACTGCCCCTTGTTCTTTAAGGAAAGGAATACACATCATAAATGCAATGCAGTACATAATATCAGTACCACAAAGAGAAAATCTGAGAAAAGGGGAGAGGGTATTCCAACAAAATAATTTACAGAATTTGTTACGCCACTTACAGTGCTGTCCACTAAAGTACTTTAGTTGTTGTAGCACACCCGGCCATTAGGTGTCATTGTTGCTACTGTGTTTAACATCTGTTTCTACAAGTTTTCAGGCAGCTCCTACTAAAATATATTTTACTGTATACGATTGTTTGCAATATGATTTTCATAAAAGGACTAATATTAGTCCTAAGGTAGGGATTTATTTCTATATTTCAAGGGCCATATAATAATGTAACTAAAATTTAAGTCTACCAGCATTTTTAATTATCATCGAGCTTCTTCCCTATCTGCTCAGTTAGCATTTAAAAGAACAACCTTTCAGAAGACAAACACATAAAGTGAGCCTGAGAATGAGGCAAATACAATCAGAGACATCACACTTGGTATTATTATTTTGGATTCAAGTTGGTCCAATACCATCTCATTGTGAAAGGGGGAAAACAAGAGGGATTTTAAGTGAGCCTGTGTTACTGTCATTACTCACCAATTGTTTGAATAATTGCATTCTGGACAATCCTCTCATCGCTCTCCTTGGAGCTCGTGCTGAAAGCGGCACTTCCCGCTGAGCTGCGCCTGTCACCCAGCTCGAAGTCAACGCTGATGCGCAGGTGCTTCAACAAGGTATTAAACACCTCCAGAACTGTTGGGCCTGGAAACAACAAGTAACAGTGATTGCACCTGTCAAGGGAAAGATGTCTTAAGAAAATGAAAACTGACCTTTTCAATCCCTTTTCACAAGAAATCTGACTAAGCATAAAAAACCCAAGTGAAATTCAGTGTTTGAGGCGTAAGGAAGTTTTGAAGTGTGCCTACATCTTGATGTTTTAGAAATTAACTTGGAATCAGGAAATGCAATCAGATACATCTGCATAATCCATTCTGATCAAGTGTACTGGGTCTGGCCAGGATGGAGGTAACTTTTTTTCCTTGTCCATGCAGCTTTTGCTCCACCCATTAAACTGTCTTTATCTTGATCCATGAGACTTCTCACCTTCTGTCTACATTGTCTTAGTCCTGTGGGAAAGGGGAATGAGCAAACAGCTGTTGGCCAGAATCAAGCCACCATGCAAGTTTCAGATAAAAAATAGGAGTGGTTGCTGAAATTAAGCATCAACAATGGGTTAAACTGCAGGTACCCACCCCCGAACTTCAGTTATTTCAAAACCTGCTATTAAAATCCAGTTCTAAATATTGAGCTCTTTTCATCATACAGTAAAAGACTTCACAGGTCTGTGCATGCAAGTGGGTCTTATATAAAGAGAAAGGACAGGCTCAGACTCAAACTAATGAGGTAGAGCAATAATACTACAGCATGAGACCAAAAAAAATCAGAAGCAGAGCACATGTGTTTATGTATCTTCCTAACTATTTCTATTTCAAGGAACTATATCACACTTAAATTACATATTTCACCTTGTTTCAGCTGCTTCACAGTTATTAAGGTAAAATTTCTCAAAGGATCATTTTACTCAACTCCCACATTACCACTCAAGTCAGCTGTGTCAAAAAGCGACAGTGCTCTTGACATTCTGTAGTCACACACAGTTCTCTCAGACTTTGCAAACTTCTTAACAAACAGGAATTCCAGCCTTTCATGACTTTTTCGTTCAGTTCTTCAATAGAAGGGTTATGTAACAGTCAAACAATAAAGTATGTTTGAGTAATTTATCAGCACAAAGGAGAAAAAACGAGTAAATACAAAACCTTCTCAAAATAAATGCTTTCATTCAGTCTGAAACCAAAGCAAAACCGAGCACTATCCTGCAAATCTATCCTTTGACCTGATGACTTGAATTTAATACAACTTACCTATTGATCCTTTAGCTGCTATTGCAACTGCTTCCAAAAGAACCTGAATAATGCCAGCACGGACTCGTGGCGAGTCCCTTTTGCGGACGTCAAGGTGTCCAAGGATTTCTTGTATGACATGATGGGAATACTGTGCCTATTAAAAACAGACAGAAAAGCTTCATCTGTGACTTTAATGAGAATGAACTCATACACTGCTCAGCTACAGTCATGACCATGTTCCTGTTCTGCAACATTTTCATTCAGAAATTTATCAAAATTTCCATCAATTCATGACTAAACATGACTTCAAAAAAGTACCATAATAGATGAAGCTACACAGGTCCATTCAGCCCAGTATACAAAAGTTTACAGTCTTAAAATATCAAGGAACATCTACAGCACAGAAAAGTGTGAAGTGGTCCTTCAGTGAGCTAACTGCAGTTCAAGGACTTCAGCACCATTGATATAAATGCTGAGAAAACTCAGCTTTCTTCTACAAACCTGGACTGTTAAGACTTGATCTTCTGCGTGTCTGTTTGACACAAACAAAGAATCAGACTTGGATCATGTTTATCACAGACAATCATATAATCATAGAATGGTTTGGGGTGGAAGGGACATTAAAAATCACCCAGTTCCAACTCCCTTGTCATGGGCAGGAAACCTTCTGCTAGACCAGGGTACTCAGACCCACACAGACTGGTCTTGAACACTTCCAGGGATGGGGCATCCACAACTTCTCTGGGCAACCTGTACAGTGCCTCACCACCCTCACAGTAAAGAATTTCTCCATAATATCCAATTTCCACCTTTCCTCCTTCAGCTTAAGGCCACAATACAGGCTGCTCATTAATGAAAATCTTGAGCACAACACAGTTCCATGTGAAGTTGGCTTGTTGAGCTGTAAAAGCAGCACAGCTGTACTGGTACACAGAAATGACCAATTTGAGAGATCTATTTGTCAAGCACAATGCCAGATCAGTACAGCTATCCTAGTCCTTGTTCTGGAGCTTGCTGAAGGACCTCTGCACTACCTGCCACTGGAGTTATTTAAAGGGATCTTTTGGATTCTTTGACTTCATCTACTGTCTACCACTATCATGGTAAGGTGAGCATTTAAACCTCTCTCATGTGCTCAAAACATGCATGCAAGGAAAAAAAAACGCTGGAGAAAATCCTACCTGTATAGAATACATGATGATTTTAAAGCAGGAAACAGCAAATTCATTAGGATCCCATAGTCTGTGATGGTCTAAATGCCTGTAAGCAAAAATTAAGAGACCTGAAATAATGACATTCTGCAGATATAACAAATGGTATCTTAGGGTTTTCTCAAAATTCATCCCAAAGGGATTATTTACTTACATAAAACTTCTAAAAAATGACTTATTAACTCAGTGAGAAATCTAGAACTTAAAAAAGGCATTTTTTTTCAAGGTTTAGGATGTGATCACAATACATGTGGCTGAAACAGAAATACCTGAGCTTCTAGTTCCAGAAATTTAAGGAATCTTGTCACTCCAAAGATATGCAGTTAAGAATATATACTGTTTCCACACAAAATGCAAGCATAAAAATGGCTGTGACATTAGATGCTCACTTATGTGAGAGATATGCTGAAGAGGATGTTTTAACACTGCGACAAGCTTCTACTCTACAGAAGATAAATAATTTGTTTTTAATCACAAGCTACAAAATAATTAGGGCTGAATGTTCCATTCAGAACAGAGACTCTAAGAACTATTTTTCTTTTCATGGTGGTTTCATGAATAAAATATATGGAAAACAAAAAAAAGCTACTCTTTATGCATATACACCTTTACATCTGAAGCATGTCAACAGTTTCTGCAAGAAATATCAAAACAGAATCCAAATGATAAATGCACGGCTTTCTTTTTAAATGGGAGAGGAACCACAAATGACAAACCCTGTCAGAGTTTTAAGCAAATACAAGGAATTCTGCTTAAGCACTATGCTGAAAGGTATGAATAGGGCACACAAAGTTTTGCAAAAAGGAGATCTGAGTATCTAAAAAAGCATGACAAAAATAACTGCATTTTTCAATCTAGAAGACTGAAAGAAAAGGTAATTTTGGATGCATTTTAATTGCTATGATCTAGGTTTAAAAAAAAAACATATGAAACCCAACAAATTCACCAAAAACCAACAAACAAACAGGCCAAACCAACCAAGAAACTTTCTCACAGAAACTGAATTTAGGTTGTGTTTCTAAACAGGTATCTCAGCTACAGAATCCTTACTGCTCTGCCCTTTCTCAAGGAACTTAGGAAACACATGCTTCAAACAGCAAGCTCAAAAGCCCACTGGTGAAAGGAGTCAGTGCTCTGAACACAGGAGGACTGACTGGATGCTTAAACTTTCTCTGCCTAGAATATGGAGGTCTCAATTCACTCACTGGGCAGCTGCTCCCAGCAGTGACCCAGCTGCATACACAGGTCTCCTTCAAGCTTGATTAAACCAGCTGATACAAAGCCATCCTCTCCTGTGCCCTAAATTATCTTGCAGTCCACTGCAGAGCTTAAAAAAAAAAGTACTGCCATTTTGACACATTACATACCTTTAATAGAAATCCCTACAGGAAAGAATGTCAGGGATTTTAAAGGTATTTTGCCTGTCAAAATAACAACAGATTTGCATTACTAAATATCAAACCTGACTACCTGTTGGGGATAACTGCCTTTCTTGTGCACACTGCAAATGCACAAGGTATAATTAATCCTGCCTTGGGGTAGAAAAACAAACAAAATCACCTCTTTAAATCCTTCAGGGCATAGAGGGTATAATGTATTTATTCATGTCTTCTTCCTTCTTAATATAATTTCAGTACAGTCCATCATTTCTTGTACATGATAGCTTATTTTGGCTAACCTATTTTATTTTTGTCTCATCAAATAGAAAATCATACTCTCCACTATTTTCTCCTGATTGGAACTGATCCCTTAATCTTTCAGGGCAGCATGTGTTCTCTGTTACCCTTGACAGTTCCTATTTATCTGCCCTAAAGATCCATTCAGGCAGATTACGGTCAACCACATCTTATACCATGTTAAAAAGAACCAAATTCCTCTCAAAACAAGATATACAGTTTTCTTCTTCCAGAAAGGCCAAGTATTAGCTGCTTCAGGTAGATGAGCTGATGGGATGACAGCAGGGGGAAGATGACAGCCTAGGTTAAAGGTCTGTGTAACAGCTCAATGGGCAGCTTACTTTGTGTACCAGAATTTTCCTCCTAAGAACAGCAGTATTAGATTACTGTAGGTGACACATTTTAGTGATCATAACACAGTGTATTCAATGTAGTTTTGTTTTTGTAAAAGAGGCTAAAGGGTATTTTCAGCATGGTGCGTTTACTTCGTTAAAATAGAGTCACACCTTGACTCCTTTTTTTTTTTCAAATTACATTTATTTCAATAAAGAAGATCCAAGTAAAGTTACAAAAAATTTTACTGCTGGATTAACAAATGCCAAGCTGCCTTCCATTGAGATCTGTTGCATATATGTGGCAAATGTGCACAACTGGGTTTCTCAATTTAAAAGGAACAGCAGAACCAATCATGCAAATTACTTTATTGAGAGAGAGACAGCCACTAATGATCCCTGAACTCCCTCTCATTGTCACACATGCAAGCAATCCTTACAGTACAAGATGATAAACTGATACTGAGGATTAGAAAGCATAACTGAGGCATGCATGTATGGGAATACACAAAATAATCTGCTCACACATCATGCACCAGTCTGTTAGTATTTGAAAGCCTTGCAGAGATGATGTGATAACCGACAAGAAAGGAAATACAGTAAGATAAACAGTTTTTACACTTGGGAAGTTTTTTATATTCATTAGGTTCCTGGATCTCTCTGATTCTGCCTAATCTATTCACCTAATTCATGCTAAGTAAGTCTCAACAGCTTCTGACTGTTGACACAACACAGAAAATTTTTTCAGGTAATGTTAATATAATTATTTTTTTTACTTTCATTAAGCAATTTCCCAGATTCATCTGTCAGATTTCATTAAAAATTATTATTTGAAAGTATTTAGCTACATGAAGACATTTATAACCATGGAGATTTTCTACCAAAGGCAAGGAAAATTAAGGTCAACCCAAACCTGTATGAGGACACTGACTCCAGATTTCTACTATCTTCATTATTTTTAAATCCCTCAATCACTGAATACACCCAGTTTCATGATGACAGAAGCACTATTATCTCAGCTTTGCAAGGAAGTGATACCATGTTGCCTGATATTCCAGTGCCACATGAAGCAAATCTTCCAGTGGGGAATTGAATCTGTACCTTCAGTGTTAACATAAGAGGCCTTATCTATTGCTCCAGAGTTTTCTTAAAAGCTGTAAAATTGTTGAAAATTGTTAGGAGAAATTGTTTTCTAATCATAAGCTCAGTCAGGTTTTTCAATTCGATAAAGTACAATGGACTCGCTATCTTGAACTTTCATTCTACCTGTTGTGCTCACTCACAAAGTGAAGCTGATTAGATACAGCACTCCCTTTTTGTTTAGGAAAAACAGATTGAAATTGCATTTTCTGCATCTCTTGTTCTTCAAAAATACTAAACCTTTACAGCAATCATTTCTAAAAAGACACATTTGGCAATTCTTCCTCAGAATGAACACAAAAATGGTGACCACAAAGACTGTCTATTTATAAAAGAGATGATATATTCTGAGCACCTGGTCATTATCTACTGATTTCAGTGCAGTATGTGGCATGCTGAGGTGCACACGCTTTGAATACATCAGGCTTTAGACTTTCAACAGGAAAAACAGGTATGACACCTTCTCAAATCCCAAACCAAGCACTAACTCTTGTCTAGGGAATCAGGAATTATTTGTAGGAAACTTCCTTGATACTAAAATGATACAAAAGATTGCAGTTACTGCACATGATGATAAAGTTTCATGATAAACCCATCAAAAGAATTTAAAAGTGGTAAGAAAGCAGCTGCAATGTAGTTCCAAATAGTCCATTCAGACTTTTTGGCACCTAACTGTTCGCTCTGGTGGCAGGTATTTGAGGAATGCAAATTTTAAATCTAGGGAAGAATGAGTATTTCTTAATTAAACACTCAACTTTGCAACATTTAAAATCTTATCAGGCTGGTATAACAGGTACGTATGGAAAATAAGAGAATAGCATAGTTCTTTGTATCTAATGCTTTCTGGGGAAAAACAAAAGGATACAAAAATTTTCTGCCCTCAATACCAACCCTACCTTCCTTTGCAATTTCTGCTCTTAACAGCAGTAACTTGAAAATGACTTTTGGTAGCTTGAAAGTCCTTCAGTGTACTAATAAAATACTTAATACTTGTGGGAAGAACTAAGGCCATATAAGAGAACGTATTCCTGTAACAGAAGCATATCTTGAAAAATCTACAAGGAGCAAGCAGCTCTTCTCATCCCCAGGAAAAGCAGGGTTTGAAAGTGCAGAGCTTCCTGCAAAGATTTATGCCTAGAACACGTGAACTTTCATAGAAACACAGAATGGTTTAGGCTGGAAGGGACTGTAAAGATCACTTAGTTCCCAACCCTGCTGTCATGGGATGGGACATCTTCCACTAGACCAGGTTGCTCAAAGCCCCATCCAACCTGGCCTTCCAACTCTTCCAGGGATGGAGCATCCACAACTTCTCTGGGAAACCTGTGCCAGCGCTTCATCTCCCTCATAGCTAAGAATTTCTTCCTAATATCTAATCTAGATCTACCCTCTTTCAAGTCAAAGCCATGCCCCTATGTCCTACTGCTACACACACTTGTCATAAGTCCCTCTCCAGCTCTTTTGTGGCCCCATTTAGGCATGGAAGGGGCACTAAGGTCTTTCCAGAGCCTTCTCTTCTCCAGGTTGAATAACCTCAACTCTCTCAGCCTCTCTTCATAGGAGAGGTGCTCCAGCCCCCTGATCATCTTTGGGGCCTCCTCTGGACTTGCTCCAACAGGTCCATGTCTTTCTTACGCTGGGGGCCCCAGAGCCAGACACAGTACTCCAGGTGAGGTCTCACAAGAGCAGAGCAGATGGGGAGAATCCCCTCCCTCTTTGATGCAGCCCAGGGCACGTTTGGCTTTCCGGGCTGTCAGAGCACATTGCCAGGTATTGCTGGGCTGTTCATCAGCAAACACTCCCAAGTCCTTTTCCCCAGGGCTGCTCTCAATCCCTTCATCCCCCAGCCTGTACTGGTTCTGGGGATTGGCCTGACTCAGGTGCAGGACCTCATGCTGAACCTCATGAGGTTTTCACAGGTCCCACCTCTCAAGCCTGTCCCCGTCCCTTGGGATGCCATCCCTTCCCTCTTGAGTTTGACTGCACGACACAGCTTGGTGTTACTGGACAATTTTATGAGGGTGCACTCAATCCCACTGTCTATATCACTGACAAAGATGTTAAACAGTGCTGTCCCATTACCAACCCCCGGGGAGCACCACCTGTCACTGATCTCCACTTGGACATGGAGCCTGGAAAACCACCCTGTACGCCATGACCCTCTGCTCTGCTGTGCAATGTGCCTCAACAGAGCTGGGAGATAAATGTCTGCTTTGCAACAGACATTTAACAGAGGTGAAAGAGGCAGACTTAACTCATCTCAATGCTTGTAGCTTTTTTCACAACATATTTTTAAGGAATCAACAGGGCAAACGCAGAGAACTGAAAAACACTGGACTTGACTTAGCAGTATAAATTGCAACTTTTGTTGTGCTATTTGTATTTTACTTGGTTTGTCTCTCCACTGATTGCAACACTCATCTATGGGAAATTATTATCTTGAATAAACAGATTCACGTTGAAAAAAAAAGGCCATCTGAGGCAACGATCTGTCCAAACCATTGTATTCACTTCTGAAATCAGTTTTCTCTGTAACTAGCTTCGAGTTAATATACAGGCAACAAAGAGGTGAGATGAAAAGAGGAGCAATTTTTTGAAGAAACATGAATGGAATCCTTTGGGTTGAAAAGGAGGAAGGAATTTAGTGCAACAGAAAAGAGGATGAAATAAAGAAAATCTCTTAACACGTCACAAATTTTTAACTTACGCAAAAACTGGTCTGACAGCATTATTCATATTTCCATAGGTTGCTCGTCCTAGTAGTTCTCTGAAACAATTCTCGGCCAGCAGAGCAGGATTTTCCTCTTTCTCTCCTCCTGTTGGAGAGGATGGAGGGCCTATTCTGCTGAAATAAGACAAAATACATTGCTTATCCTACTGATTAATATTCAGCTTCCTTACTGTACCCATCCTTCGTACTAAACCACTCATGAGTCACACTCTTGATCTAGGCAGAAATTGTATTTCAAATATGCATCAAACCAGAATTCTGAATAAAATATTTTATTCTCTTATAGCTGGACTATAAACCCACTCAGTACTAACCACTGTATTAGTATACATTTATATGGCAAAACCAAAGGCTGCTAATACTGAGTTAAATTGTTAAATTGTTACCCTCTCCATTTTGACAAACCACTACCTGTTGCCAATGATGAACAAAGGCTGTGAAACCATGAAAAATGTCAGGCAGAATCTTAGTCATTTTGTTGGGATTAATGATCTCATTCACCTGCCCACTACTGAATCCATACTGTGTGGGTGAGTGTTAAATGAAACTCCAGTACTTCTGCACAAACAGATGGTTTGTGAGTTGAAAAAAAAAAGTCTGACTGAAGTAATTAGAACATTATCACCCACACAGTTACCTCTAGATAGGTAGTGCAGAAGTTGGTCACCTTCTAACTGGTGTCTCCCATCATTACAACAGACCAGAGCACAGCTTAACCCCTCAGCCAAGCTGGGGGTGCTGGGGTAAAAACAGTTCAGAAAGAAAGCAAACAGTTCCCCCTCAGGCACCTCCATTACTTATCAAGAAACACTGTACCTGCAGGTGGTTTAAACATATTATAGAAACTTAAGTGAGGATTCATTCACCTACATTAACATTATGCACCTATGCATTAGGAGATTTATTTTAAATTGCAGAAATCAGTACACTAAATCTTTAAACATTATTTCAGCACTGCAGCTAAAATTTGTGAGATAAATATGTTTAAAAATGTTCACCAAGAGCACCTTTAGTTAAGGTTCACTCTTCAGCATCATAAAACCTCAGCTTCAGAGCATTATAAAAAGTTGCAAACTGAAATACCACTAGTCAAATGAACATGTTGACATCATAGTTGTAATATATCTTCTGATAGCAAAAGATTTTCTACTGTTTCAATACTACTGAAATCTAAAAGCAGCAATATAAAAATCCTGTTGCCTCTGGTAACATCGGTGTTTCAGAATTACCACAACATTGTCAGCTTGTCAGATTTTAATAACAGAAGAGCCTCAGGCACCCTGTTATGTAAGTAAGGAAAAATACTTTTACAAATGCACCATGATTAGAATTTTAAAAGGCATGACAATTTATATATAATCCACCACGAGTACCACTAAACTACAGCTTTATTCAACTGCTGTGCCACTTAATCTCCCTTTTTTTCCCCCCCGTATTGCCTAGAATCACATCTAGGCAGATGGGTATCCTTCTCAGCACAGAGAAGGTACAAATAACACTGTAGGTACTGTCATTCCCATTGCTGTTTTGACTGATTCCCTAAAATGCAGCAGCATTGCAAAGGTAGGTGGGTGGGTGGGCGGGCAGGAAAAAGCAAGCAGCCTGCAGAACACACAGAGCGAGGCTGTCTGGCAGAACGCCAGTTAAAATGCAGTAAAAGTAAGTTATGTTTTAAGTGCTTGTATACGCAAACCTACAGAAGCTGACTTCTCAGCCCTGCCTGGAGTCTTATTTTAGAACAAGTTAAAGGATGAAATTGCAATCCAGTATTCCTCATATAAAACATTAGTCTCTGACTGCATAGGAACATTCAAAACTATCTTGAGTTGTCTGTAGGAATCACATTTTATTTTGAACAGCACCTACGTAAAAGTGTTTCTCATTAAGTGTTCCTTGCCATTATCGATGAAAGACAATGAATAGAAAACTATGCTTTTTAGTTTTAGGGAAAAGCTTCATGCAGCCTCTCAAGTTTCCATTCCAAATGAGCAATTCATACTCATTTTGTTTCACTGACTTGGCTTTTACAGAAATATCAGAAAACATCTGACAAATCCAACTTCAACACTTAGAAAAAATACTAGTTTTCCTATGCATCTAGACTTCTTGTATTACCACAGGTCCAGAGGGTTGAAAATGCACTGAAATGGGCAAGAGCTACTCCCTTTAGCTGCTCTACTGCCATTATTGTGGGTAATCCCTAACAGAAGAAGTGGCAACAAGGAAATGGAAGGAGGATGTGTTGAAGTTCAGCAGTTTGAACAGCAAACACCTTATCAAAGGCTTGAACTGGCTTAGAGAAACTCAGCATCTCAAACATTAGACTTCTTTAATACCACAAAACCAGGATTGGCCAAAAAAAATGACAGGACACGTGAAGTAAGACTTAACCACCACTCATGAGCAGAGTAGCTGCAGGATTGTTTGACTATGATTTACTAACCCTGAGAAAAAAATACATTCTAACCTACCAATAAACCAGAATTTGTATGAACATTACAGATATATTAGAAGGATTCAAAGTCAAGTTTACAAGTGCTAGAGTGTCCTTCTGCCTGAAACAAGGCTGGCATGTTTAGCCAGTGAATTACCAATTTCATTACATCCCTTCCCCATTTTAGAGATGCACATAAATAGACATACAAGTCACGTCATGTCTGATAGACACATAACTAGACTGTGCATTCAGACATATGAACAAATAATGGCATCCAAGAATACAATTACCTTTTTAGAACGTTTAAATAGTAAATTCTTAACTCCAAAAAGTGTCTCTTCTGACAGGTACTCAGAAGAATCTTCAATTAAGCTATTACGGTTCCACAAATTAAAATTACACTGACCTTTAAAGTAAGCTTTACCTTACATGTATTTTAGCTTTAACCAAAAATCATTCTTTTCCATGGACCCAAGTTGGGGGTATTTTCTGGAATTTCTGCTCTTTCTCAAATAATGCTTTGATTCCATCTGCCAGAACAATATGCCTCCTACTCCTACTCTTCAAGATGTCTCTGTTTGTGCTCCACAAATATGAAGTCACCCATAAAATGAGAAATTCCGTGTAACACCACTTAGGGCCAGCAGATCAACAATTTACAAATACAGTTTTCAGCTTTTCTGTCATATGCACATCATACAAGGCCCCTGCTCACCACTTAGAAAATCATTAGTCTTTTTTTTTTCTGTTGTATGTGCATTATAGAACAAGATTCAAAGAGACAGTTCAGATATTTAAGTAAGTTACTTTTTGACAGATTTGTTTTTCTACCACCACTATTGCATTGCTCAACAGATGATAAAAATCAGTCCTGCAGGACATATAAACTGATCTGCTATAAGTGGTTAATCCGAATCCTACTTCATTCAGCTTTCTATCAGTAGTTAATTTATTTTGCTATATAAAGGGAAGTGCACACCTGAGGGCTCTGTAAAGAGTAACATAGGAAAGGGCCCACCTGCAGCCAGGAGCCCTCTAAGAGCAAGCAAAGGCAAACCAGATTCTCCTTGTTCAAACAGCACCTTCAGAAACCTTAGTCTCTTATTCAAATCACTCTTCAGATGTAAAATTCAAGTAGGTATCTCAGTACATATTGTCTGCGCCCTCAGTTATATGCACAGATATAACTGGACAGACAGACAACTATTGATCTTAGTCATTTAGCCTGAAAATTTGCTTTAGAGAAGAGACAGGTACTGGGACTCAGAAATAAGAGAAGAAAAATAAGGCTGAGGAATGGAAAAACAAATGCCACCAAAACTCAAACCAAAAAAATGAAACCTGACAGAAAGCTCAGTGAAAGCATGAAAAGTCTGTTGCTATAGAAAGGCTGCTGAGCCTCTTGTCAAGCAAGTTTTGAAGCAGCTAGGGTTGGACATGGAATGAATATTTAAGCTTGCCTGCACAGCTGAAGTTGGTTTTATGGAAATTTCCCAGTGCTACCAATACACAGTTTTTACACCTACAGAGTATTTAACCACAAATACAGACTTTTCAATTGTAAAGTGACTGGCATCTCCTCAACTTTAATAATCACAGACACCTTTTTGAAGATCTTTTTGCATACCTGGCAGGTACTGTGCCTAGGAGTCATTGAAAGCAAAAAAAGAGTTTCTATAAGTAAACTTTAAATCCTTACTTTATGTACTGCTGCAGCCAGGACAGACAGTTGTTGCTAATGGTTAATGGGAATTAAACCTTCAATTTTTAACAAATATAAGTAGCAAAGTCATTTGAGTCACCTAAAAGCCTGCACATAGTTATCTCTGCATCTGATATTATAAAACACTATTTTACAATTTGTATCAAGTCAAAACATGGATATACAATTTCTGGAGCAACTTTTAGGCCAATAGAAGCTAGAACAAGTGAAGAAGAAGAGGTGGACACTACTTTGAGACAAGAAACATTGAGTCGTTATGCAGAGCTGTGCTATCAGTTTCAAGGAGCCTCAGCTAGTAAAGGTTAGTTGTTGTTTCCACTAAAAATAAAAGAAAAAGATATCCATCACAAAAACTAAGCCTAGATACTGCTTAAAAAAAGCATGCCAGTGATAAGGAACAAAATTACCTGTCGATATCTTCTATTTTCTGCATGTTGAACAGCAGTGATGGTACGATCTTGTCCATGTGCTGAGGTTCCCATATAGTTGCTCGAAGTTCATCGTTAACTGTTTTTCGAACCACTCCCTGAATGCCCCTGATTCCAGCAATTCGGATCCTAAGGAAGGAAAAAAAGGAATTACAGAGAACAAGAAACACAGCACCTCCTAGTACAGCTCTTTACCTACTGGGCAGCAGTAATTACGTAGCGTGGAATTCCAGTAGGTTCTCACAAGCAGCAATCAGGAAAATTGGCCAATTCAGTAAGGTTGCCCATATTTTCTCCAAACCCTTTTAAAGCCCATAAGGAACCTAACAAAACAAACAACTAAACAGAAGATGACCTGTCAGGATGGAGTTGACACTGATCAATGAAGACTCAAACTGTGTATACCACCTCTGACAAAAGTCATGAACTCTTCCCCAATTTACTCCCCCCGTTGGTCGAAATTTTGTGCAATTTCAACCTATTCCGGTGCTGAAGAAAAACGCTGTGAAGTGACCACAGCACCACTGCAGTAACACCTGGCACAGCCATGGGATCAAGTCCTTAAAATTTGAAATTAAGGCTACAGATTAATCAGAAAAGATCTCTCCAGATTTCTTAAGGGTTCAGAAGATGGAGAGTAAAGAATGATTCTGTCAGTTTAAGCCCAATGTATAAAAGGAATCACCACTTTTATCCTAAAACTGTTTGAATGAAACCAACTGAGAACTAATCAACAACAATGAAATAATAAAAAGAAAAAAATAATTTCAATAAAGGCCTTGGTCTAACTTCCAGCTGTTTTCACTATTTTGTTAAACAAAAATAGCTTGCAGGAAAATCTGTGCAATGAAATGAGTAGCAAAATACTCTTTTTTGAAACGGTAATAACGTGTTAGCCATTATAATAAATGGTAGAAAGAAAATTATACTTCTTGAGAGTGGTACAGCTGCCAGGTGAAATAAGCACAAGCTTCATTAAAATTTGAAATTATTTCTATCAAAATCTATACCTCATTTTTTAAATCTTGATTTCAGTATGGACAACACACAGCTAGCCCTTGCTCAGTCAAATTCACTGAATTAAAATATTTGTAAGATGAAATACAGAGGTAACCAAATTTTATAATTAATATTTTTGTTTCTATTTCGATTTGTAAATACTTAAATCTGTAGCCTCCCATATTTTAGCTATTTTTGAACAAAATCATGTACATTGAATATGGATCTGATGCCATTCTAGACCTTTTGAGATAGTTTTAATAGGATTATATGCAAAGCAGGTAAGAAAACGGATTCATAAACAGATAGAAAAGCACTTGATATTGCTGTACTACAACTACAGTGCAGTATCTAATGTTGAGTTTTCAATATTAACAACCTAAGATTGACATTTAAGACCCAGAGCCTTCAGAAATCTACCAATGAAACTTTTTTTTAATTATTAGATCTTAAGGCAATCAAGATTTGCTGATATTGTGGCTTTAGATAAATTAAATACTAGCACTGACCTCCCCTGACAAAAGGGAAATCTCACTTACTGGGGAGATTCCAGTTCAGGCTCAGAAGCCCACTTTACCTGACAACAACCACATGTGTAGGTGAGGTTCAAGCTCCCACTCAAGCCACTCAGTTCAGTGGAACCTCACGTCATGCAGGTGAACAGCAAATGCAGATGTCTGGTTTAGGATCAGATGAACTACCCCGTCCCCCATCAATGGTATTGACTGGTTGTGATACCTGCATTTAGAAATGTCCTCTGCAGTCACAGCTGATTGTTGAATTACCTCAGAACCAACAAACCTGCCGTGCCAACTCCAAGAATGATTGCTGCTCACAAAGATCTCTTTCTTAAAGAGATACATTTAAACTGTCTAGGATGATGTGGAAAAAGCCATATTACTATACATTTGGTTACCCTCAGTAAAAAAAAAATTTCACATGTGGGAAAAAGGCCACACTTTTGTGTACTGGAGCGCCACTAGCACTAATTTCATGTTCTTACTATTGCACAAAAGGATGAAAAGTGTGTGTTGAAGTAGTGAGGAAAGTGCAGCATTAAATTTCATAGCACAGGAAAGGTTTCATTCCTCTAAACAAGGCTCAGACAGGGAGTAAAGCCAGGATTACATTTAATTTAAGGTCATGTATAATATTATGTCACTCAGATGAAATTCCTCCCTGTCTAAGGGTACATCAACATGGCAAACTGAAGCACAGATAACAGTGCAGGCTGCCAATCTGGAGAGCAAAAGGTTAGCCCAGTTCTCTTACTCCTAGAGCAATCACAGTTTTGAGGCATTTTACTCTGAGATATCCTTGTGACAGGTAGATCATACTTGATATATGAATCAGGGATGTCCTAGTCACTTAGCTTATTCCATATTCCAGTTCATTACCAATATTAGCTCTCATTTGCAAGGGGTAATGGAGGTGAAAGTAATGCTGAAAATCCTGAGTTGAGCTTCATGTCTGAACCTCTTATGAAACGTTTTACGGTCAGTAAGTAGTTGAACATTTCTGGTTTAGTTTCACTAAACCTAAAAATATAAAATATCCAAAAGCTCATTGAAACCTTTATGAATACTATTTGCAACAATCAGCTTTAGGTAAATACACTGTACCTGACTGAAGCCTAAGTTATGAGGTAGCTGCATGATATACCAGCTTCACTGGTGACACCTCTTTAAGAAGTTTCCATCCCATTTGCCCTTTGGTCCCTGAGTACAAGTCCTTAAAAAATGGATGGCGTAAACCCAAATCTTCCTAAAGGGAAAGCTGGTGGGGGCAGGGGTAATGGTACAGGCAAAGCAGGCAGATTTAATTCTGACCTATTTAAGAGTTTACAGCAGAACCCTATGCAGAGCAGTAGGGCAACAAATAAAATGGCAGCAAATAACTAAATATAAGGAGGAATTATTTTGGGGGTTTATGTTTGGGGTTTCTTCCTCCTAATCAATGTACACAGTATTCATTCATTTTGAAAATACAGTTCACAGATTTCTGAAGCTGCAAATTTCCAGAAAAATCCTTATGCACTGCAGCTAATGTAACAACAGTACACCTGAAGGGTGGAATAAATGCTCAGCACGCGGACTTGTCATAGTTGGATAAACAGTTTAAGGCACGGAAACAGAAAAAACTACTACAACGGAGATGTAAATAATATAAACCGAAAAGCCTTATGTTTTCCAAAATGCTCGGAGTTAAACACCGATTACCGATTCCCGTGACGGACACATCCGCCAGGGGGAGCCGCAGGAAAACAAACCGCGGTGCTTCCGTAAGAACGGAAACATTTGGAATTCTCATCCATGCGGGCGCTTCAGCTTCACACACGTGAGCAAACTTCAGACATCTCAGACAATTCAGTTTTAATGCGTAATTCTCAAATAGCAATCTCCAAATATGCTTTTGCTGTTCATATAAGTAGCCCAGTTATTTCTCAAGTAAGTTATGAACTCACACATTTACAGCAATAAGCGGTGCCTTTCTGGGGAGAACCCACACAGTCTGAGAGGCACTAGTCAGGCAAAATTACACTGAAATATTCTAGGAATGCCAGCTACCTAAGATTTGCAATATTTGGTGCTATTTAAAAAGTCAGACTTTCATTTTCTTCCTGTGAACCACTCCATTAAATACCCTAATAAAAACTGTATTACACACAATATTACTGTGTCAAGACAGTTTTCTGTAATTCATACAGAGTGCACTTACTCAGTTTGTATTTCTGGATCGGGGTAACACGAATGACACATGGCACTGAACCGAGACACAAAGAAGTCGTAGCGTCTGTGATAGGAAGGTGTGTCTTCCTCAATGTTGGCAAATTTGACAAACTGGAAAAAGAAATACATTTTAAAATGTTTTTAGTATCAATTTCCCCAAATAGAACAATGAGTACTAAGCTTCATTTAAGAAGCAACATAAACCATCTGTATTAATGTACGAATCTAGATTTGACAACACTTTAAAACTTCAGAGAAGAAAAATCTGAATTAGAGAATTTTCTTTTTAAAGTCTTTCCACTAGAACTTCATTTAGATAATGATGAAAGGGTGCAACTACATGAAATACAACATACTATGCAATATGGAAACATCTAACACTTCAACACTGAGTGTCATCAATTGGTAGAATCATTAAGGTTGGAAAAGACCCTTAGGATCATCAGGGCCAACCATTTACCTAACACAAGTCCACCAGTAAACCACATGTTTAAATAACTCCATGGTGACTCAACCACTTCCCTGGAAAGCCTGGTTCAATGCTTGATACTATTTCAGTGAAGAAATTTTCCCTAATATCCAACCTAAACCTCCCCTAGCACAACTTGAAGCCATTTCCTCTTTTCCTATCTCTTGAAATTTGGGAGAAGAGACTGATCCCCACCCAGCTACACCCTTCTCTCAGGTGCTTGTAGAGAGCAGTCCAAGCAATCAAATGGTCCACTGACACGACCAGGTTACCTACATTCTGACTTACCAAAGTCCAAGGGAAATAAACTTGGAGCCATACTGTCAATTCTATCTTGGCAAAAATGAAAAAGGAGTCAGGGAATTACAAGCCAGTCAACTTTAATTCCATTCACAGAGAGACACTTAAAAAAAACAAAAGCCAATTTGCAAACATCTACCACATATCAAAGGGGTAAGCAACAGTCAACACAGATTTGTCAAGAACAAATCACATCAATCCATCTTATTCCTATGACAAGGAAATAAATTTTGTGAATCCAGATGAAGCAGCATCTGTCAAATCTTAAATTCAGTGATGCTATTGACAAAAAAATACACAAAATTCTCAAAGGGAAGTTAGAAAAACACTGTCAAAAGAACACTCTCCATAAAGCAGATGGAAAGGAATTTGGAAAAAAACCCCTGGAAACTCTTGTAAATCATGACAGTACAAAGTACTGAGTGAACTTCTGGAGGGGCCTGTCTGGAATACAGAATTTGAGCTTCACTAGAGACTCAGACGGCAGAGTCGGCTCACCAAACTTGCAAAGAACACTAAGCTGGCCAGAGTTAAAGGCACACTTGATACCTGGTTCATGACAAACTGGAAACAGGACCTGAAAATGGAAGGAGGTTGCAAACCACCACTTTAAAACAGCTGTACAAATACAAGCCAGAAACAGCTGAATGCAGAAAAGGAACTTGGTCAATGCTGTAATAATGGCATGAAAAACAAACCAATATATTGTGATACATCTGTATTGCTCATGACACCTATGAAGAAACTTTTGCCATCTAATTGGGCCTAGTAAGCCCTTAGATGAAATGCTGTATCCAGCTGAAACATCAGCGCTGAAGATGGTGATTAACTGATACAGTCCTTCAATTATTGAAGGGATGAACAAAGCTTTAGATAAACATCTGTTAAAACAGACTGAAAGACATTAAATTATCTAGTCTAGAGCTGCCTAAAAGATATCAATCTGACAATGTACAGAAGAAAGTTATAAAAAAGAAAAGAAATAAATGGTTTTCTTTGTCCAATGGTAATAGGAAAAGCAATAATGGGTTTACACTGAAGCAAAGCCTATCTAAGTTAGACATTAAAAAACCCTCCTTTCTAAAGTGAGCAGACTGCCTAAAGACTTTTTGGATTCTCCACCACTGACAGTTCTAAGAACAGACTACAAACAGAAGGAAAAAGGAAAACAAAATGTCATCAGGAAAGGTTGAACATGGTGCAGGTTCTGCCCTGAAGCAGAGTGATGTCCCAGGAAGAACCAAACCCTCTGCTTTTACCCACTCCAGTGTCATTCTTACCAATTCCTAAGCACAGGCTGAGGCATTTCTTTTATACTTTCCATGATGCAGAACCTGCTTTTAGCAGTACATTACCCATCTACATCTAGGCAAGCCCAAAGCACTGTAGCATAATCTCCAGCACACTGATTTGGGGAAGTTTTGAGGTTTTCAAGTGGAAGTGAATGAAAAAAACCCAATCATTTTTCTACTCTTTTGTTTAGTCTTTTTCTGTTTTATCTAGAACACTTTCAGCTGCACTACCCACTAAAAGCTACAGGGGCAGTTGAAAATGATACAGTTTGTCAAAGTACATTCTCAGCTATTACTGAAAATGGAGCAAAATTGTATAATACAAGTCCATTTTTATAAGTCATTCTGTTAGGAATATCCTGTATTTCACGTGGTAAGAAAGCGACAGAAGTCAAAAAGTCAAAATTCAATTCTGTATGGACTCCTGCCACACACTGAAAAACAATCCACAAACAGCACCCATAAGTTTTCTTCGATACAGTAAATAATGAAAATGAGTGTTTCCTTCTCAAGTGACCCTGGAAAATGCTTTATATGTCTTATGTCTCCCTGTTTTGTTTCATGGAATTGTTGATATCAAAACAGAGATAGATTTTTCAAATTCTTTTTGAAGAAAAGAATTTCTTTAGTTCTTACAACTTAATAAGGCATAAAGACCAACTATTATCAAAAATCCCAGACAATATGATCTTAGTATCATATTGTCTTAGACATTCAAGTGTTCCAAGTCTGCAATTGATTCACCCAGCAAACTTCCATAAAAGTAGGTAAAAGAATGGAAACAAAAAGTCTGAAGAACACAGAGCACTATGAGAATGGCTGTGAGAACAAAAATATTAACTCATGTAGAATTTAATATCAACATTTAATTTATTATTACTTAAACACAAAATTATTCGATTGACAGGCTCTGCCAACATGAAAACTTAAACTCTAAGACCTGTTTTGCTTGTAGAAACAAAAAAAAAAAGCAGATTTTTGCTACCACAAAATTGCTTTTTAAGAATAAAAGATGAATTGAGCCCAAGAAAGTGTCAGGAACTCCCTTCTCCTACATCGTGGTGCAGCTTTATAGCAGGGAAGCAAAGACCATGAAGTTACATCTCTTTAAATGGCATGCACAGGAAAATGTCCAGAAGGGACAAAGTTTTTTTATGTCCTTATGTCTATAACAAAACAATTTCACTCACTGAACATGCAGCATTTCTGAAGCACGTTCCAAGATTATCATTCAGATGACTGAACATTTAGGACACAGGAAAGCTGACTGCAATAACAGTTTTAAATTGTGCACTGTCATCTAGTTAAGTATAAAATTTCTGTGATGAAATGGAATTTTCAGTTTTTACAGTACACATTAATCTATACTTTCTCTTTGCTTTGCAGTGCTGCTCTGAAGTCGTTATTGTTGTTAAACAAAGAATATTTTACTCCCAGGCACACATTTTCAACCGCACTAAAAATATAAAAAATATTCCACCTAAAAAAGGATAAAATTCTTAAGAAAGTCCAAGCACTTGCCTGGGATTTACTTACAAAGCTTTTATAGATGTAAATATGTCATTCAGTCATAGTAAATGCTTGCAAGCACCCAATGGCAACTTATGGAAGTTTTACCACTACAAGCATCTTCTATATTTCATAATACAGAAGGTACAGAAAGGAACTTACATTGGTAGTATCTTATTTACATTCATTTTGAAACCAAAAAATTTCAGTAAATATAAAAATATATAAATCTATCACAAAGTAAAGAAGAAACATTATCTATTCAGAAGATGTTTGTTCCGGCCTGACTCAAGAAAGTTGGATCATATAACCAGGGAGAGAGAGATTGTGCAAGTCTTGCAAGTAAATCATGCAAGTTCTCAAGTTAATTCCTAAGGACATAATTTCTTCTATGCATTAATGCTGTTTTACCACTGTTATGCAGAGCGTACATTAGGAGAAAAATAGTAACTTTTAGTGGTTCCTGGATGTCTTTAAAGAAGGTCAGGTTTTTTTCATGAAGAATCAGTTTTTTTCACGCATCATATTTGAGTTTAGGTTATGTTATTTAAAGTATCCCCCTGTAAGAACAGCAGGCTGGATCTGAGCAGTATTTTTTTCATATTTGAGCTCCCTAGTCTGCCTTCTATAGCCTGGAATTTTCCCTTGCTTGAAATGGGGAAAGAGGTACTGACAGGTATCACCTTTATGGACCAATGTATTTTATGGACCAAGTACGTTGTTATTATTAAACTATTACATTGGAAGACTTGACACCTTATAAACGTAAGATTCTTACAAACCACACACAACAGGCTTCACAGTAAGTGTGAATGTATGTATGCACTTCACCAAACAAATGCCAGAGGACAAGCACTTCAACTTTCCTAAATAGAAAAGTTTAAAACACTGGATTCACACATTAACTTCACGAACACAGTATTAAAATTGTCACAGTAAATAATCCAAGATAAGGTTCTCAGCAATAGAATCGGTGATTTAGTTTAGCTGTTAATCATTAAGGTCACCTGACACTCACTTTCAGTTTTATCAGAAGGGGATGGATAATTTCACATTCTGTTTTACTTTGTGTCACTCGGATGAAAATTCTCCTGAACACCACATGTAGAGATGTATAACAAAGTCAGCAATGTTATGCTGGCTCCCAGGGCCACGTTAGTGGGGCTACAGAACAGCAAACCAGAGAGCACATGTACGAGGGGGAGGAAAACTGCTTGTCTGCCTTTAAATAACAAATGATAACAACCAGCAATAACAGTCACCTCCTCGTGCACAGGAAGCTCAGCACTGTCACTTATGAGATCGTTATTTCACTGCTCCTAAAAAGAAATGGCCTTTATAAAATGAAGCACCCTATCAACTAAAGAAAGCATTTATGGTAATTAATCTAAAATAGATCTGCTATTTTTCAGACAAAACCCCAGTATTTTACTGTCAAAATACAAAGAATTCACTCCATCAGCATTCCAAATTAGCTTAAAATGTTTCATATTCAACTGAGTTTTGTCAATACAGTTAAGATGAAAGTTTTACTAAATTACATATCCCATTGGTTTTGACCAGCTGCTCACTAAAGAAATTTTCTGCCTCTTCTTTAAAAAAAATTGTCATAAAATTAAAAACAGATATAAATTGGATCTAGATAATTGTCCCCAACAATTTTGACCACAAGTTCAAAGACTTCAAAGCTTTTCACTTCTGTCCTAGTAATATAACACTATGGAGCTAATCAATACATCTAATGATATGCACATGAGAGATGGAGATGTTTTACATAATACTCAGTTACTGAAATTCCGCAGGAAAATAAAGAGAGAAATTTAGTATTGATGTAAATTTCTAAGGAAAAGCTTGTTGCAATCAGTCTTCAGATCCTGTAACACTTAAGCCAAAGAAATATCATTTCTTCCCACCACGTTTTTTCAGTTTCTTCACCAGCATATGATATCATAGCACATGGTTAATAAAAATATCTTCCATGACAGAAAAAGCCATTTTGAACCTCATAGACACTGTCAATTCAAAATCTGGTCCAAATAAAAAAAACCCCAACAACAATTCAACATACCCACTACTGAATTTCACCTGTTTTCAAGTATCTGCCTATATAATAGATTTACAATTATGTTACCAAAAAAAAAAAAAAAATCATTGCTGCTGCAGGAAATAAGCTAGCAAAACTTATATATGCAACACATAAAAAGTCACAGGAATTAATTACATGTAACCTGAAGATCAGGCTTAAAAGTACATACATAAACCCTAAACAATTATATATCTAAAATGGTAATCTTCAGGTTTACTTTTTATAAGTAAATCAACTTAAAAAATGAAATTTAAATTCCAAAAATAATAAGACGATGAACAACTGAGTGAAAGTTTGAATTTTTTTCTAAGACATAAAGCAGCAAGTAGAATAAGTTCTGCATCCAAAACCAGATATTTTGAAGTCAGTAAAATACTTTTAGAAGACAGCTGCAGCTTCCAGATCTTTCCAAGCCTTTAAACTACTGAGAGACACCCAGTACACAGATTTGTTTAATTTGAAACCCGAACTTCTGAGCAATCACAAGAGTCCCGACAGCTGAAGCAAAATCTGCTTGTGATGCTGAAAAACCCTACAGCTCAAGTAAGGAGATTTGAATATTACTTCAAAGACATCACTGTCTTTGTATCCCAGCGAAGCTTTGGGATGGAACATAATCACGATCTACTTATAGCCACAATATCTTTTTATGTGCAAGCGGACTACAAATTGGTAGGGGCCTTAAATTGAGTTTAAACTAAAAATATTATGGAAAGTTTTCCAAAGGTTGCCTGACTTTTCACCAATTAAAGACATTTACTTCACATAAAATTCAGTCTTCTCTTCTAGACAACAGCAGTTTCCACTCCAAAGTAGAAAATCAGAATATCTAAAGCACATGAAACATTTATTCAGTCACTCTACCATCTATTATTGTTGGGGTTTTTTAAATTTGTTTATTTATTTCCTTCTGGAGGAGAGAAAAAAGGCTGAATTTGATTGCAAACTTTCTACATTCCTAATAAAATTGATTTAAGAATCCAGTAGGTCAGTGTCCTTGGTAACAGACAAGCTGTCAGTGCCAATACACTTTGCTCCTCTTGAGTCAACACAAAAAGACTCTATCTTTTGTCTTCATTAACTACAGAAGGCACCTAGGGAAATTAGCAGAGTTAGGCTAAAATTAGTTTTTGGAATACTGTTGAAGAGCTATAAAGATTCACTTTCCTCACAGAAATTCACATTTTATTTAGGAAAACTTAATTATTTTCTGTTTCTGAGTTTTACAAAAGACAAACACAAATTATCTCCTAATTCAGGAAGTCCATTAATCTCCTTTGCTCATAAAAGACTCCCTTAGGAAGTGACAGAAATATCAAACAGATTACCCTAGGGTGGAGTTCTGTACAAGAACATGCCTTTCAAAGTGACATGTGTCTTGTACACCCAAGTGGAGGTTGGCAGTAACTGTTTGCCACCAGGGACTTCAAATGGAAAGTGATGTACATCTTGCCATTTGGCAGCCCGGGAAATAAGTTCCAAAGCTACTTCCCTAAGAGGCCTCACCCAGGCATTATTATACAAACAAATGAAAAGAAGAAGGGTAGCCTTCTTCTAGATAAATAAATAAATAAATAACATTTTGCATGTTTAATGAGATGTATATCTCATTGCCCTCAGTAAAGCTGCCCTGTTAGTTTGGAGCACAAAGGGACACTTCTAGCCTACATAAAATTCTGCATTCTGCGATATCAAGAAATTCTACTCCAGAGCAACATCACTTTACTACACCCTCCTATCTCCCTGAACTGCAACTCCCAACTGGGAATCAATCCCAAAAAAAAGCCCAACAGTTCTACTGAATCCATAAAGAACCCCATGCAAGCACTACTCTATATTCATGTAAAAACAATCACTCTAAGTGAAAACATTCCACATCACAATCCTGGAATTTATAAGATTCCTATTTTACCATCTGCGAAATACAATGGTTAGAAGGGAAATATGACAGAACTGTAATGCTGATTGCACCCATCACTCTATTTGGAAAACTGGATCTCCAAATCTTCATTTTGACACTTTTAGTTATGCCCATCAAGCAGAGATCTGAATCCTGAAATATTTAAGCCAATAAGATGGCGAGGTGTTGATTCTGAAAGGCACTTTTCAGCTAACAGGAATCTTTCTGTGTAGTGTCAGTGCTGGGGAGAAGGATGTCACATTCTCCTCGCACCATCACTCGTTGCTGGAGAGCCAAACACTGTCTCACCTATACATTGGTTCCAGAAGGGCTGCTTAAAGATTCAAAATATGAACTCACAGAACAGCATTCTTGTTCCTTCCAGAAGTCACTTCTGCAGGGAATGAGCCCAGACATCAAAAGCATTTGAGACATTGAAAGGAGACAGTTTATCTGCCTCCAGCTGCTATTTGCTCTGTGTTTAGGTCCAAGTGGTACCCCCTACCACAGACAGAATCTTCTAAATTCATGTGAACTGGCAAACATTTTGTGACTTCTGAAACTACTTTCCCATGCAAAGGTTTACTCTGATTTGATTTAGTGTCTGAGTTTACTCACAGAATTAGTTCCAAGGACTTGCAGCTTTGGTTCGCCTGATTCCAGAAGCTTGGCCACCATATGAAGGAAACTTTCCACAAATGGTTTTATGCTTTGAGAATGACAAGCCATCAGAAGTTGGTCCAATGCCTCCATGGCAATTAAAACATAACTGAAAATTAGAGAGACTTGCATAAAGACGTATTGCATTTATCATTAACTCCATTAGTTCCTTCTTTAGGTCCTTATTACCACAAAAATTAGAAAAGAATGGAAGGCATGTATTTCCCACTGTATAAAAATGAAACTTAGTGCTATTTCTGACATCTGTATTTTTTTTTGGGGGGGGGGGATGGGAAGCGAGGAATTGAGTGTTGGCCATTTACACTTTCTATAAAGCTATAAAATTAATTTTGGACATCACGAAGGTCAAAAAATGATGGTCTGTGATGGATGTTGCCCTTCTTTTCCATCTCCTGACACTTCTTTGATTCAATATTTCCCACTTAAACATGATTCAGCCAAAAGCCCATGTACTGGGCTTACATGGCAAGGTTTTGGCAGTGAGGGGCTGCAGGGATGGTTTCTCTGAGAAGACACCAGGAGCTGCCCACCATGTCAGACAGAGCTCCAGCCAAGCTCCAAGATGAACCCACTGGTTCCCAAAACTGAGTCCCTCAGGGACACTGGTAGTGCCCAGAGTAAGCAGATATCTGTGCTGCAGACCGTGGAGGACCCCACGTTGGAGCAGCTGGATGTGTCCCCAAAGAAGCTGCTGCCCATGGAAAGGTCGTGCTGGAACAGGCTCCTGCAGAGTCCATGGAGAGGGGCCTGACCCATGAGCTTTGCATTTTATTTTCTCCCATGTCTGGCTGTGTAGGAGGAGTGAGAGCAGCTGAGTGGGCACCTGCCAGCCTGACAAGGTTAACTGACCACAGAGGGACTGGGTCTGTCTTGCCTCCCAGACTGGATCAGAACAAACATGACAAAATCCCACGACATATAAGCATCTCTTTTCAATGCTGTGACCTCTCTCCTCACCCATAGCGGTGTCTGACGACATCCCTGCTCAGTCTCTCTGCCAGGTAAGCCCCAATTCGATCCAGCTTTTCTGGTGCAGAAACTGCATAGAAAGTCAACTTCTCCATGTCGGCCTTAACAAGACCATCCTAAAGGCAGAAATACAAATTATAAAATAAAAAAGTTCACAGAAATTATGAAGCTTTTGAAGCGTTTTTCCTTTAGTCTACTTAACATTTAAAGATTTGAGCCTTATTGATAGGAATAAGCTACCAAAAAAACCCCAGTCTTTTGAGCAAAACTGCTGTTAGCTCAGCTGCAAAAATCAGCAACTTAAAAAAATTATGTAAAATATTTTTCAAGGAAATGAAGCAACTATCTTCCTCCTCCTTTTTGGTGAGGGAATGATTATTCTAAAAGAAGGTATTTAGTGAGAGATGTCACCAGTTCTAAGACACACTTCTTCCCTACTGGCATAATGTAATTTTTTTCTTTTCCCATCCCCCCAAAAGTTTATTTGATGCATAATTTTGACACTACATACAAACAAGATTGTAGTTTAAATATTTTAGATTGTAGTTTAAAGATCTTATTTCTTCAGTGTCACATTTTGAATAATGCTGACCTACAGGGTACCCAAAAGCTATTTGCTAGAAAAAGATAAAAGACTAACAAATTAGTTCCAACACGAACTGTAACATGGATGTGCTCAGATGAAGTTATAATCATAACTATCAGGTAAGCAAGATAAGGCTTTTTTGTCTTTTATATTTTTTTATTTTTTCCCTAGAAGTTCATAAAAACATTCTCTTTTTCAAATTAATGCATTTTATCAACAAGTCTTCTCATACTTTGGAGAAGGTCTGCAACTCAGTGAAACATCATGGACTGGTCTGTGTCCTGCAATGAAGCGATGAATATTAATCAAAGCAGAGACTAAGAATTGCCAACTCAGAGCTCCTGTGTGAGATTTAAGCCATAATATTAAAACTGTGGCAATTCCAGGTATTTCTACTCCTGTATAGAAAGAGTAGATCAGAACAAATAAACCTATAAAACCACATTGTTCTGTGCATGCAATATACTGTATAAACAGAAAACATTTCCTTTGAAGTCAGTAACATGCAGTAACTAGCACTCAGTAACAACATATTTTAAAGAAAAGCCCACATACTTTGTAACACATAAGCCAAATATTATAGAAAAGCGACTGTTCTGCTTAAACTATAACAAAAGATGAAAAAATTTGGTAACACATTTTAAAAAATACAGTAGCAGAAGCATAAGCTCTTAATCAGTCTGAACTGTCACATTATTATGTATAGAAATAGGCATTACCAAATGGTAACACTGAAGTTATTAAAATAAATAACACACAGTGTAAGAGTTAAGTTTTAATAGAGCTCCAAGACTGTTGCAGTGAAATGCAAAGAAAAAACTGAACATGAGTAACTGGAGAATTTAACAGATACCACCAAAAAACCTTTTGGGTCACAACAGTCTACCAGAACTATGAAGTCAGTAAGTCAAGAATTAAAAGAAATCCTGTAGAAAACCAGACAATGTGTACATGTGTAACCACACTAAAGCAAGTGTTTGTGGTTCAACGTACTTATGAAGTTAAGTGCTACCTCTGCAGCAGAATACCTTGTTGAATTAAATCTCTGTTTCTCTGAGCAAAACATACTAATTTTATTCTTCAATGAACAGCCCCACTTTGGAAAGGGAATTAGACAAGATGATCTATATATGTCCCTTTCCAGCTAAATTATTCTACTAACCTCTGTTAAAGCTATGAAGAGCTAAAGCAGAATTTACTGTAAAATGTTAAAAGAGAAAAGAAAAAATAAAATTAAAAAAATAGCTAAAGCATTAGCTATAACCAAGAATTTCCAAACACCAATCCCTTAAAATGTTAAAGTCATCACTCACTTTTGGATCTTCAGGAAATATGTTATCCACTAGACGCTTGTAGCGAGGTCTTAGCGCAGCACAGCAACAGCAAACTCCTGCAGAGGGAATTACACAACGGGATTTAGAATGCAGTTTTAGGGACTCATTTGAAGGGACAAGCTGACAAGTATGGAGGAAAAAGATATACTGAATTCAGCTGCTTGTCACTCTCAGCAATAAGGCAGAATCAATGTAACTGAAAATTAGCACAAAAAAGTCAAATAAGCAGAACTGCTATCACAGAAACTGTGAGAAAATATGGAAGCAACTTGGGTACTAGAAATGCACCTGCTATCCAGCCATACTTGAAAACACACAGAAAAATCAAGACATTTTAAAATTTAGTCATATTAACCAAAGCTACTTTAGTTGCTGTTTTATCTTCATTCTGAATGACTATCTCAAAACATCAAAATGTGCACTATGTTCATTCTTCTAAAAAAGAAATCAACTATGAAGTCCTCTGTTTTACAAGCACCCATATAAACCAATGTAAACCATAATACACAAAACAAGCTCTACCTTCCTTATCCCTTATCCTGCCTTTAACTGGGCATTAGTGAAAAGACAGTCACTTGGAAGTGGAGAAAGGTATTTTTTTGATTTCATTTCTACTTCTATGAGTACTAATCCTGCACTCATATAATCAGAACAACACATGTAACTCCAATTTTATTAATTTTAAAAGTCATACTGCCTGCTCTAAAAAGATAAACCTTCAAAGCATTGACTGAGTTTTTTTCTAGCACTCAGGGCTACTAGAACTGTGGAATTAAGTTAAAATTCAGCACAAAAATAAAATTAAGAAAAAGTTCCTAAATATCTGCCCAACTGTTTTATCAGGATACATTTATTCCCAACTCTTTTTGGAAATTTTTGAAAATGAGGTTTTAAATGTTTCAGTGGACATATTATCAGACTAACTCACTGGTCCGGCCTCAGATCAACACTAAAGCAGCTCTGATGCATAAGAGCCACTAAATAAACAATAATACACTCAATAATAATATATCAAGTACATGCAGATCAGTGGCTTTCTGGTCTTTCATGTCCCAACTCCTGAAGGATTCAGAGTAGCTAAATACCTTACAGATACCTTACTAAAGGTATCCATTTCCATATTCCAAAAAACCATTACACACTTTACTAAAAATAGTAAAAACTGCAACACGATAAAGTGTATAGTGGCAGAAACTTTGACAATTATAATTTATCTGCAAATTTTTCAGGCTGTGAAGAAGCATTAGACAAATATATTAGGACCTGTATTTTTTTTATTTAAGATATCTAAGTAACCTTAATTGTTTTTAACCATATTTATCAGAACATCTGGGAGATTCACAACAAAGACTTCCCCTGCTGTACTTGTTTTTATTACAAGTGTCTACAGGAGTAGACATTCTCCCTCTATTCCACCTGTTTATTGAAGCTATTTGTCTTTTAGACAAAAATATATTCTGCTCATACTCTGACAACTTAATGCTTGCAATTATTTAAATAAAAACTACTATCAAGGACAGATCTGTGATTCTAAAGCCATACATTAACTCAAAGTTCTCCCCAGTGGTCTTGAATTCTCCCCAGCTCATGAATTAGAGAATCTGGTACCACCAGTAAGATCAACACTGACTTACCACTTCAGTTAGTAACTACGAAAACAAAAAGCATTTAAGGAATAAATGACTGGAATATTGAGAATGTTTGTGTTAAATAAGTGCTTCGTTACCACTGTCAAATTCTTCGTATGACTCCTGCTGACATGTCCTACTCACCGAGGTCTAACCAATGTAAAAATAGACATTTACATGAAAGCTGCAGGTAAGAAGTAGCTAAAATTAAAGTTCTTTCATACGCAACTCGAAAATGTAGGTATTAAAAGATATTAGAAATCTACTTGACTTAAAATTGAAAGAATTCACAGTTCTACAAAAATATTCTACTGAGAGTAATGCTGTGCAACATTTTAAAAGTAAAATCATAACAAGAAAGAAACACTTTATTGGTGTCTAGCATATCACTTCATATTGGGAAACTCCAGTAAGACCATCAAAATCCACCAAAACAAGACCTAATATAATTAAATATTTCTTGAGTTAGGTATGCAGCTCTGCACCTGGCTCAACACTCTCTGTACATGGTCTTCCTACTTGATTTTCTACCTTATGGTTGACCTCTAACTCTGGTCCAGAGTGAACAGCATTAGATGACTACTAAGTATAGAAAAACGTTCTTACACTAACTGTAGTAAAATATTTTGATATAACTACCTAAACTACAAAAAGAACAGGAAAATCTTTTAAAATATTGCATGCAAGACAGAGGCAATTAAAAATACAGTTATAATAACTGTATAAGTAATAAGTGATAGAAGAAAAAAATCTTTGCAAAGAACCACAATTTAAATCTTAAAATGGCATTTTAAACCCTCATAAATTTAACATAAAACCTGGATACTGTTACTCCTTTGAGATGGATAAAAAAATATCAGATAACAGTAACAACTCATTCTGGCCCCCTTAGCAGGTGGTTTCAGTTAATGGAAACTCAATATTATTGAAACACTGCTCTTCAAATTTATGGTACATAGTGAATTTTGACACAAGAAAAGGCCTAGCAGTAAGTATAGTGAGTAAGCTCTAAAATTTTGTCTTCTCCTCATCTTAGATTTTCAGTAGTGTCTTTACATTGTTATGTATTTAATTATAGAACAGTTTACATAGAAAAAAACCACAAACTTGCCAAAAATTTTCTGTCATCAAAGTATAAATCTAAAAGTAATATGGATGGTAATCTCACTAAAAGAACTGCCTAAATTAAACAGAACATCCAAATATCAGCAAATGAGAGTTAATCTATCACCAGGCTTTCAGACTCCAAAGATATTTTCAGTAGAGAAATATAAGCAGAACAATATCAGAAATAAAACTGACAGGCACTCCAAAGAACATAGAAAAAAATGAAACAAAAGCAAAAACCAAAAAGATTAACAGTCATAACACAGATTTTGTGGGAAAACTATTGATCATTGCTCAGTTATATCATTTTGACATAACCATGAAAGATTAATAAAATTGTAGGAATAGGTTTAGAGAATGTATGAATATAAAAAGACAATGAAACACAATCCCACAAAAATCATGTCGCAACAACATACATTAAAAATAGACTGAACTTACAAATAACCCATAAAATCTGAGAACATTTTTCTTCATAGATCAGGAAAGATGAATGTTGCAAAGATGTACAGAAGCTGAGCAATTGAAAACAGATTCTCTACATCTCGGATAGCAATTTAACCCAGATAAAAATTTATCCAAATAAACACGTTTATTTCACACAAATAAGCTGTTTTGTAGGTCTATAGAACACAGTCACTAAGTCAGGTAAAAAGAACCCATTCCATTTTATGCAGGTTTATTAAGGAAAAATCCTATGACAATTCCTTTTCAGTGTCAGGCAAAATTTGCATTTTAATCATCTCGCCCTTGCAGACATCTCTACATCATATTATACCAGTAAATATAAAGGTTCAAGCAGTATCTATAGAAGTTCACATTGCTATGTGAGAGTCAACATGAAAGGATTAAAAAATACTCCTTGTTTACTTTTCCAGTAGTGGGATTTTCCAAGTTAAAACATGCATGTTCTCTTCTGCCGAAGGAGTCCTATAATCTGCATTTCAGAGTTAAGGCTGTCCACATTTCCCAGCTCTACGGGCAGTTCTTGTGACACACATTTACTCTACACAGCAGCAGCAAGATACAGTCCCCGCTATCAGAAAATGTAATTTCACCTACCCAAACACATACATGGCCTCGGTTCAAAAGCAGAATTATAATCATAGGCTTTTTCTTGCTCAACAGTTGGAACTTGCACATACTGCCTCATCTTGGATTTTACTCCCTGGGAACTCTCTTGGTTCAGAAATTTGCTCTCTCACACTCCCATAGCAGCAGTTCCCGCGAGGGCTCTGCAGCACTGTAAGCTTATCTGATCAGCTCTGTGACATCTACATAAAGCCACCAAACACGTGAAAAACATCAGTATCAAATTCTGTTAACAAGGCCAGGCACAAGAAAGTAGAAAAGAATAAAAGATGCATTGTCAGTGTGTGATTCACAGTGCCTCGAACGAAACTGCACGGAAACAGTTTCATTACTTCAGCTTTCCTGGTACACACAGTTCATTATTTCTGTGACTAGAAGTAAAAAATCCATACAGTTTCAGATAAAACTATGCTCAGTCAGCTGCCACATATCACTGCAGAGTGATAAATATTTTAGTAAAACCTACTCACTTGATCTTGCAGAAGAATGGGAAAAAGAAAAGTATTCAAAGCAGACTACTGACCAAAAAGACTTTAAGATAGAAGGGTTTACCCCTAAGATTAAAGAAACATTTGAAAATTAATGAAATTAAACATTATCTCTAATAATACTTCTGAGTTTAAGAAGCAAGGATTAGAGAACTTAAATCCTTAACACCTTTACTCACAAAGATTATGATACATCAGGTAGAAAACCACTTTTGAGTTAAACAATTCTGAAGTTACTTTCTTGCTTCCCATTAATTCTCAGCACTTTATTGTTTAAATTCCTACATTAAAGTCACTTGGGCAACATAAATACAGGATTTTCATACAGGCATTTTTTTAAACCCTGGAAATCATAGCCACTGGTTTTAATAAAAACGCAGCTAATAACATCCACTAAATGACAACTCCATAACAATTCCAGACTTAGAAGATTAATGTTAACAAAGTAGTGTTTACTGCTAATAAATTCAGAGAAAACACTAAGTTGCACAGAAACTGTCACTACATATTTCACTAAGGGAAATCCTAGAGTGCAAACTAGAAAAATGCACATTACAATAAGTTTTATTTCAAATTAGTTTGTCTGAATATTTGTGCTACCTCTTACTCATAAAAAGATTACAGGAAAACAAAACCTTCAAAGAGACTTTAAACATAAAGCACTAACTTCTTTCCATCAAGTTTAAAACTTCCACATTATTTTCTTCTTCATGAAACCCTAGCAAAACAGAAAACAAATCAACTGTATGATTTATCTAACGCTAGAATTTCTTCCAAAATTTGGTAATGCTGTCTAATATTGTTGTCAACAGTTTGCAGAACATTAACAACCTGAAGCAAGATTTCATGTTCACTCACAGAATATTTTTGTCATGACTCAAGTTCGGATCTGGTTGTTCATATCTTTATTGACTATCCTCCCAGATTAAAAAAATAGATCTTATTCTATCAAAAATAGTATAATTAACATAAAAGTTTGAATCTACAAATAAATGTTTTGCTAATATCAAGAAACTGAGAAATACTAAAATTACATTTGTTGCTCAATGTATTTAAACATAACTACGTTAAAATTTATTTGACTTCTATACATTAAACTTTCATTTTGTTTATTTTTCTGTATCCAAGATGAGAAAAATAAACAAAAAGAAAATTCTTTTAAATATCGAAGGAAAGTGCATAAAATAACACTACAACCATTATCACTTACTATACCTGGTTAGTTTGGAACTGTTAATATCAGTTGACGCATTTAATTCAGAACTGAAAAGATTTTCAAGGGCATTCCCCTTCTACTATGAAAAAGAGATCAGATATTTTAGAACAAGAAAATTATTCCAGCCATATAAGGGAGCTAATTAAAAATATTCTTCAATCTACTATAAAAAGAACAACTGCTGTAAGGATGGGCTCATCAGCCATTGCAATGTCACTGCAATGCACTCCCAGAGGGAATAGCGCACTCATCATTTAGACAAGATGAAATCTCCTCCCTGGGTGAGCCTCTCCTCCTCCCACCCAAGTGACAACTGACTTCCATACACCTGGTTTCCACTCTCCCTCCACCAAAATTCAGTAAAAATAATGTCCAACCTGCAGATGAAATTTTTGTCTTGAGAACACAATATTCACCTTGATGTGAATTTCTCACCCGCTGACAGTAAAATCCCAGTAACAGCTAATGGGGAAAATTCCATCCATATGTAAGTTTGGCAATTTTACATTTATTTTTAAAAATATTTTGGTGCTCAGTTAATTTGAAACAAGTGAAAAAAACCCCAAACTTTTCTCCCTAGAATTTATTCTTACTGTAAAGCTAATTATAAAGTGCGTAAAGTATCACATATAAGGTGATATGATTTCAAGATGTGTTTTTCTATACTGGAATCACAGAATCATTAAGGTTAGAAAAGACCTCTAAGATCATCAAGTTCAATTGTCAACATAGCACGACCACCAGGTTCCCCATTAAACCATGTCCACAACTGCCACATCCACATGTTTTACGAACACTATCAGGGATGATGACTCCACCATTTCCCTGAGCAGCCTATTCCAATGCCTGACCACCTTTTCTGTGAAGAATTTTTTTCTTAATATCCATGCTAAACATCCCCTGGTGCAACCTGAGGCCATTTCTGCTCATCTGTCACTTGTTACCAGGGAGAAGAGACCAAACCCCACCTGGCTACAACCTCCATTCAGGGAGCTGTAGAGAGCAGGAAGGTCTCTCCTGAGCCTCCTCTTCTCCAGATTGAACACCCTCAGCTCCCTCAGCTGGTCCTCATCAAACTTGGGCTCCAGATCCTTCCCCAGCTCCATTGCCCTTCTCTGGAGACGTTCCAGCACCTCAATGTCTTTCTTGTCATGAGGAGCCTGAAAATGAACGCAGGATCTGAGGTGTGGCCTCACCAGTGCCGAGTAGTTGGTTGTCCTGCTGAAGCAGGACGATCCCTGCCCTGGCCCTGCTGGTCACACCATTTCTGATACAGCCCAGGATGTCATTGGCCTTCTTGCCCACCTCGGCACACGCTGGCTCACGTTCTGCTGCCTTTGACCAACACCCCCAGGTCTTTTTTTGCCAGCTTTCCAGCCAGTCTTCTCCAAACCTGTAGCATTGCACGGAATCAGCATGGAGAGATGCACAGCATGCCACATGTAAAAATAATTTGAGTATAAACTTTTTGTGAAAGCAAGAAATGACAATGCATGTGAAGATACTAATAAGAAGCAGGAAAAAAACCCAAGCTAGTCAAATAATGCTTACCACTAAGCTTCTTCAGTGAAGTATTCTTCTCAGAAGTAGCAATTAAAACAAATCCCTAGGAAAGATATTATCTTTGGGAAAGTGCCTTTTAAAGACTCCTGATCCATTAAAAGGAAGTTTTCCATTACATCAAATTCTCCGGTTACATTCTTTTACACAAGTTCCACCACCTGCAGTGTTTCCATACTGTCTCTTCTTTCCTCCACCTCTGTTCTTTTCATATAGTAACTTTGTTTAACTTGCTCATTTCTGTTCTCCTCAACACCACCTCCACCTTTCCTACTCTAAGATAATACCAGCACTCTCTATTTTTAATACAGCATTAAAATTACCTAAAATTAATTAGATTCCAGTGAAAGAAGCTCTATGACATTATGAGTTTTGCTTGTTGGTTTGTTACTTATCTTCCTATTAAACTGGCCTAGGTCATTTATTTCTCATCACTGAAACAATATAAAAAGGAAGTTTTGTCCCTCTGACTTCAGGAGACTGGAAAGACACATCTACATAAACCTCCTTGACCCCTCTCCTTCACAGGTGGCACTGATAACCTGATCATGGTTAAAAAAAAATAGGCAAAGTCCAGCTTTCATTCCTGCTTTCAGTATTTGGTTCACAATCAGGTAATGAGTTCTAGGTGATAAACCCAGCACAGGAAAAAAACACCCCAGAGCTTTTGTGTCATCACATTCCTATTTCTAAACAAATACTGATTTCATAACAAGGTGTTTCATCTGAAAAATGGGGACGTAAGCAAACTACTGGACTAAAGGAGAAGGGGAGGGAAATGGAGGCTCATAGTGCTTTGTGTATTCTCTGAACCACATGAACTGGCATTATTCCTCCATCCAGGCAAGTAGCAGAGCACGGAGCAGACTTGTAACACTAACAAAACACCCACTGTACAAATCCAGTAACACACTGAGCCAGGAGGACATTCCTCCCCTACTATTTTATTCAGAAGAAAAAAGAAGGATTGACATTATCACAGCAACCACTTTCTTCTCCTGCTACTTAACACAAATATTTTGATCTACCTCTGCCTGTCCAAATGTCTGGCATGCTCCAAGATCCATGGGTACAGGTGAATGATGTCTCCTCTGCACAGTGATGATCCTGGCATAGAAGTAACCACCCAGCACCAGACTATCCTGTTGAAAGCCTGGCTTCACCTTGACCCTAACCTATTCTCTAACCCAGATGAGCCATTTTCAGAATGCTCCATCCTTGAACACTTCCCAGCTGCAGAAAACAGCTGCAGAGGGCAGAAGAGTGTGCTGTAACCTTTGGAGGAACACAAAGGCCAAATAACTTGCTTTACACTCCTCCCTGAGTTCCACTGAGGAGAGGGACTGCAACACCCACACCTCTCCTACCACTTTGTTCCCACTTTGTTGCAACTAAGGAGCAACACCTAACACTGAAGATCATTCTACAGAATGTGCTGGTGCACCTCAAGATTGAGATGGACACTGTGCCTGAAGGGGAGAAAAGACACTATGGAAGGCATGGTTGAAAGGTTAACAGTCCAAGGAGGAACACTTAGCCTATCTCTGGGGTGGCCAGAGGTGGGTAATGAGGAATTCTTGAGGGATGTCAATGGCAAAATTTTTCCAATAGGGTCATGCTCTGCTTCTGGAGCCTTCAAACTCTACTTCTGATCAGCAGGTTGGCCAACTACAGGTAAAAACATATATACTTGGCTAAAAGCCTCAGTAAACTTTGGTGACTGCTACATAAAGCCCAGGCTACAGAATCCCTTCCAGATGCTTGAGCTGGTCATATCTTTTCTTCCCAGTCCCAGCTCCAGGTAGCACAGCAGACGAGGACTTTCTCTGTGCCACTTCATCCATGCCCAGTTCTAGTTTTAAAATTTCTAAACT